ACACTAAGGATCTTTATCTTGCCCTGCCTTCTTTCTTTTGTATCTGCTTTCTCTTCCCAGTGGTGTTTCCCTAGACACCTGTACTCATATGAATCTAGCTGTTGTGAGGACATTAAACCCCAAACAAAGATTCACCCCCAGACGGGCAAACCTATTCATTTACATAACACTAAATCCACTTATTCAATGAAGCTTCATACCTACAAAAATCTGTTCAGCTTTTCTAGAGAAGTAGTCATTTTTAGAAAGAAAAACATGAAAAAGGATGGTGGCTCTTTGAACAGATATAATAGTAACAAGTGCATTGGTGGAGTTGTTAACAATTTATTTTATAAAGGTATACTTTTGATTTAATTCAACCTGTCAACGTGTGACAAATTGATAAAAGACAGTATCACAGTTAAATAAATGATATATTACTGTTTTCATAAACATATATTAATAAACAGTGAATATATCACAGAAAGAGAATCACCACGTCCTGCAAAGACGTCACTTGTCATAATAATGCACATTCTATATAGCTACTGTAGTATGTAAAACATAAAACAAGATCTATAGTGAAGAAAACTACACGTATAAAATATTATATAACGTCTACAGCAATGTAAACTACACGTATAAAACATTATATAACGTCTACAGCAATGTGAACTACACATATAAAACATTATATAACGTCTACAGCAATGTGAACTACACGTATAAAACATTATATAACATCTACAGCAATGTGAACTACACGTATAAAACATTATATAATGTCTAAAGCAATGTAAACTTCACGTATAAAACATTATATAACGTCTACAGCAATGTGAACTACACGTATAAAACATTATATAACGTCTACAGCAATGTGAACTACACGTATAAAACATTATATAACGTCTACAGCAATGTAAACTACACGTATAAAACATTATATAACGTCTAGAGCAATGTGAACTACACGTATAAAACATTATATAACATCTACAGCAATGTAAACTACACGTATAAAACATTATATATCGTCTACAGCAATGGAAACTACACGTATAAAACATTATATAACGTCTACAGCAATGTTAACTACACGTATAAAACATTATATAACGTCTAGAGCAATGTAAACTACACGTATAAAACATTATATAACGTCTAAAGCAATGTAAATTACACGTATAAAACATTATATAACGTCTAGAGCAATGTGAACTACACGTATAAAACATTATATAATGTCTACAGCAATGTGAACTACACGTATAAAACATTATATAATGTCTAAAGCAATGTAAACTTCACGTATAAAACATTATATAACGTCTACAGCAATATGAACTACACGTATAAAACATTATATAACGTCTACGGCAATGTAAACTACACGTATAAAACATTATATAACATCTAAAGCAATGTAAACTACACGTATAAAACATTATATAATGTCTAAAGCAATGTAAACTTCACGTATAAAACATTATATAACGTCGACAGCAATGTGAACTACACGTATAAAACATTATATAATGTCTACAGCAATGTGAACTAGACGTATAAAACATTATATAACGTCTACAGCAATATGAACTACACGTATAAAACATTATATAACGTCTACAGCAATGTGAACTACATGTATACAACATTATATAACGTCTAAAGCAATGTAAACTACACATATAAAACATTATATAATGTCTACAGCAATGTAAACTACACGTATAAAACATTATATAACGTCTACAGCAATGTAAACTACACATATAAAACATTATATAACGTCTACAGCAATGTGAACTACACATTTAAAACATCAATGACTACAACAAACACAACATCATTGGATGACAAAATGGCCCAAGAATGTACAATATTTTGTAATAGATGAAAATAATACTGTTTACTGGAAAATTTTCGCTTAGGCAAACTTTAAAGGTAAAATGCATTTTTGCTCAGTAGTAAATTCGCCCTTCATATTTGATATAATTTGTATATGATGTTGCTAACAAATGTTTGCCGTTATGATAAATTTGCCCTTATTATGGAGGGCGAAAAAGGTGAATATTAAACTGCAGCACAATATGTCCTGGTGTTCAGTATATGATCCTTCTACGTCAGTTTGTATGTCATGTCTGAATCAAAAATGATCTGTGACATACTTCTATATCAAAAGATATTATGTTTAACTTGTGTTGTATAATATTGATGAAAATTGAAAAAAAAACAGGCTGTGCATCTATTATCACATGTTAATTAATGCTATATCACAATATTTTTTTATCAAATCAATACCACTTCAAAATAAAAAAATGACACTACTTTGAAGTAAACACATTGTTGTCATATATATACCAATGAATATACAGAATTACAGTTTGATATCATACTTGTAAAACTGGAGATTTGCATATCTATTAAAGATTTCAGTGAGGTGGCTTCCAGATGAAGACTGTACACCATCCATTTTCATTTGTAAAGAAAAGTAAGTAAAATCTCATTATCTAAAACAAATAAATCCAACGCTTTAAAGTCAAGAACTTTGCTAACCGATAAGATTACCCTCATGACTCACTATTCATAGAAATTCAATATTTGTACAAAACATATAATTTTTGTATCAAGTACCGGTATAGTTCAATGTGAAGAAATAGAGGCATTATACAACTTTTTTTTTCAATTTGATTAAACTACCAGTACATATTTTTATTATACACTACATGTGAAATTAACACCTGTATTTTAATCAGATTGCAAATTTTTTTCAGTAAATCATAACAATTAAATTGACACAGACAATTTGATAATACAAATGGATTGATATGTTCATCATCAAATGACAATTTTTAATGCCCATCTTAATACATGTAACAAATATTCAACAAACTTTTAAAAAAACACCACTACTTGTATTATACAGAATTGTACATAATGAAATGTATATGTAATAGGGCCACACTTTATATACTTGAACATAAAAAATGTATTAAAAAAGCAGCCTGGGAATCGTATCATTTAATCCAATGTCAATGTATGGTAATATATTGAAACATGTTGATGATGTTAAACATAAACTTCCAACATTTTGTCAGCTGAAATCCTGGAATTTGAATTAATCCAAATAATAAGAACACATAGCTTACCCCATAATTTTTCTCTAATTGACGCAACAGCCTTCAGGATTGTGTGTGTGTGTGAGGGTGTGGGGGGGATAAATTCAATTGGTAGATTAATAAAATATGTTCTTAAAGATGGCTGCCGTGGTGGCCATTCCTGGTTTCTGACAAAACTTGAAAATTTAAAAAAAAAAAAAAAAAATCTGCATCATCTCAAGATCAATCATGGCAAGTTATATATAAATTCTGCTATTGGAATTGGAGGAGAAATTCTGTCAAAAGCTTACAGATATTGTGCAGTGAATGAAGTAAATATTTTTATATAATTATTTTATTTTATCTCTTAAGTCGGACCTGACAGTACATACACACAATATACCCATCTCTTAAGTCGGACCTGACAGTACATACACACAATATACCCGTCTCTTAAGTCGGACGTGACAGTACATACACACAATATACCCGTCTCTTAAGCCGGCCCTGACAGTACATACACACAATATGCCTGTCTCTTAAGTCGGACCTGACGGTACATACACACAATATCCTCGTCTCTTAAGTCGGACCTGAGAGTACATACACACAATATACACGTCTCTTAAGTCGGACCTGAGAGTACATACACACAATATTCTCGTCTCTTAAGTCGGACCTGACGGTACATACACACAATATCCTCGTCTCTTAAGTCGGACCTGAAAGTACATACACATAATATACCTGTCTCTTAATTCGGACCTGACAGAACATACACACAATATACTCGTCTCTGAAGTCGGACCTGACAGTACATACACACAATATACTCGTCTCTTAAGGGCACTACTGTTGAGTTATGTACCCCATTTTGATCATATTTTATTTTAATTGGATCAAAAGATATTTCAGTCAAATTTTCCCCAAATATCATGAACTAGAAAACATAACCTGTATAGAATGCATACAAATTACGATTCCGTAAAATTGATAAACTGTCTTCAAATTTCTCGTTTGCCTATGAAGCCTGAATTGTGATTGCAAATGACGTCAATGACCAAGATACATGATGAAATTGACTATTAATACCTGTCCAGAGTCCCTGCTGAGCAAAATTGCAGACCTTCAGGTTAATAATAACTCAAATGTGTTTAATATAATGATATTTTAACGTTTAAAATATACAAACTTTCTCCTATGTAAGCCTACATTTGTCTAAGTATAGAACCTACCATAACTGTACAGATTGTTTTTATCACTTGGTTTTATATACAACCAGGCAATGAAACTGAAAGAAACTAGACCTGTCATCCGGGGACAACTAATACCCCCCCCCCCCCCCCCCCCCCCCCCCCCCCCCCCNGAGAGCGAAGCTGTGATGTAAGGGTTAAGATTTAGTATGAAGAGAGAGGGAAAATGTATGAAATGCACTTGACACACATTTGGTGTACAGTTTTATGCTACAGTATTGAGTTAGACTTTCTACACAAAGAAACATTGCATTGCAACTTTATTGCATCAATTTCATTAAAAACCATCCTGTAGTTTAGGAGGAGTATCTGGTACATATGTACTATATTGGTCAAAGTTCAAAACGCGGAAGGTTGAAACCTGACTAGACAACCCGTAATATATGTTAAACATTATTGCTTCTAGTTTTACCATACCAAATTCGGAAGGAATTGAAAAAATAAAAAAAGTTCATGCATTTTCTATTCCATCTTTGCGTATTGCAGAGTTATCTTCTCTTGTGAGCACGGATTGATTGTTACGTCATTGGTTTGTGTGAGAAAATTACGTCGTTTTCTCAAAGATTGATGACGTTACTCTCACAAACAAATGACGTAACAATCAATACCTGCTCACAAGAGCAGATAACTCTGCAATACGCAAAGACGGAATACAATGTCATGGTCATGTCGTGAAAAGGGGAGATAACCCAATGAAAAGTACTTTACGCCCATCTCCAAGCTGCATGAATTGTTATCAACAAATTTCATTGAAATCCATCAAGTAGTTTAGAAGGAGTACACAGTACTACATTGCGTCCACAGACGGACGGACGGACGGACGGACAACCTGATTCCAGTATACTCCCCCTAACTTCATTGCGGGGGCTATAAAAAATGAATCTTTCTTTACACATTACACTTGTTGTTCCCAGGGTACAATGCACTATTTACTCTAGATTTGGCGGAGGACATTTTCTTCTTTCTGCCAGCGGTCAGATCTTGTGGCACTTTTGTGTGAATGATGATAGGGTCCTCCTCCTTGCTATGCCCACTGGGTAGAGGGAAGTCAAGGACAACTGCAGGATTGGAGGGTCGGTATCTCGTTGTACAAGTGGAGGCATTGATAAATGTTGTACATCCATCTGTTGACACTCCATATCCTGTAAAAACACAAAATAAGTGAAGCAGACGTTACTTGGGTGACAACCTTAACAGCAGGTGCTTGTAACAATTAGAGTATTGGGTCACCACACAGAATAAAGGTATTGGTTCTTCTCTTTATCAAAACATTAAATCAATTCCCGATCACTATAATTGTAAAGGAAGTCAAATACTATTTACAGACGGATTCTTGCTGATTTTCTATATTGCTAATTATTATTATCAAGCATTTCTTGCTGTTTTTAAATCATAGATGGCTAAGTAAGATATGAAAACCGTGATATAAGGGCAATCTTACTGAGATCTGATTTGTCTCCAAATCTCATCTCATCTCATTGGCTTGTTTTATCTGTACCAGGGCCACAAGATTTCTATGCATGGATACTGCACCAACTAAAGATATGCAGAATCGCATGTACCTGTTAAAATTGTTATTTTAGGTTTAAAACATCTAATTTTCTCAGATATTTGATATTCTTGAACACATAAATTGTGTATACTTAATTAAAATACATTGAATTATGTAAACATGCGTGTACTTGTAGGCCATGATTGAGGAGTCCTGAGTTCTCTTTGTCAATAATCAATATGTTGTCCTCGTGTAAGACTTGGCTTTCAGTCGTCCTGAACACTGACATGTCCAATTAATACACAAATAAACAATGGTATGCTACTCTCTACTCAATCATATTGACTACATAGTGACACGTAACCTTAATCTATGTTAGTTTTTTGACAGGTGTGATGCGTTCAACTAAAATGTGATGGGCCTAGGTTACATATAAAACCATTAATTTAAACTCCTTAATTTGGTTATCGATAACAAAATATTGCTGAATAGAGGGAATACATCTTTTAGCAGGTAGAAGGAAGACATTATCACATTTCATTAACAAGACATTACTTCAAGAGGATCTGACTGTGTGCTTGTACGAAGAGGTTAAAGTTTAAGTATCAGGACCCACTTCACTTTACTCAACATGTCCAAAAACATGGTACTTATTCAACCTTCCTTCATGTATATGTCCAATCTTGTTATTTATTCAACCTACCTTTGTGTATATGTCCAATCTTGTTACTTATTCAACCTACCTTCGTGTATATGTCCAATCTTGTTACTTATTCAACCTACCTTTGTGTATATGTCCAATCTTGATATTAATTCAACCTACCTTCATGTATATGTCCAATCTTGTTACTTATTCAACCTACCTTCGTGTATATGTCAAATCTTGTTATTAATTCAACCTACCTTCATGTATATGTCCAATCTTGTTACTTATTCAACCTACCTTCATGTATATGTCAAATCTTGTTATTTATTCAACCTACCTTCATGTATATGTCCAATCTTGTAACTTATTCAACCTACCTTCGTGTATATGTCCAATCTTGACATTTATTCAACCTACCTTCATGTCTATGTCCAATCTTGATATTAATTCAACCTACCTTCATGTATATGTCCAATCTTGTTACTTATTCAACCTACCTTCGTGTATATGTCCAATCTTGATATTTATTCAACCTACCTTCATGTATATGTCCAATCTTGTTCCTTGTCAACCTACCTTCATGTATATGTCCAACCTTGTTACTTATTCAACCTACCTTCGTGTATATGTCCAATCTTGTTACCTATTCAACCTACCTTCGTGTATATGTCCAACCTTGTTACTTATTCAACCTACCTTCGTGTATATGTCCAATCTTGTTACTTATTCAAATTACCTTTGTGTATATGTGTAGCAGGACAGGGAATAGTGATAAAGATAGTGCCTTCGCTGGGGCTCAAACCTGTGACCCTTGGTTCTCTAGCCTGATGCTTTAGCGCTGAGCTAAAGGGAAATTCCCTACAGCTGCCGCTTGTAAGGCAGCCTAATCAATGCACATCTTTTACATATGTCCAAACACATGGTATGTATTCAACCTACCTTCGTGTATGTCTAAATACATGGTACGTATTCAACCTACCCTAGTGTATATGTCTAAACACATGGTACGTATTCAACCTACCTTTGTGTATGTGTCCAAACATGTGGTACGTATTCAACCTACCTTTGTGTATATGTCTAAACACAGGGTACGTATTCAACCTACCCTCGTGTATATGTCCAAACATGTGGTACGTATTCAACCTACTATCATGTATATGTCCAAACACATGGTACGTATTCAACTTACCCTCGTGTATATGTCCAAACATGTGGTACGTATTCAACCTACCATCGTGTATATGTCTAAACACATGGTACGTATTCAACCTACTCTCTTGTATATGTCCAAACATGTGGTACGTATTCAACCTACCATCATGTATATGTCTAAACACTTGGTACGTATTCAACCTACCCGTGTATATGTCTAAACACTTGGTACGTATTCAACCTACCCGTGTATATGTCTAAACACTTGGTACGTATTCAACCTACCCTCGTGTATATGTCCAAACACATGGTACTTGGGCTTCACTACCTTCTGTACAACATTCAGAAGCTCTACACACCCAACATGATTACCTCCCTTTACGACATCTCCGTAACCTGAAACACAGAAGATTTATAATGAAAATAAGAAACAAAACCATAAACATGTATTTAAAATTGTAAAAGATGTTCAAACATTCATAGCATTGTTCACACTGAATCAAATTAGTAGTTTTAGTAGTGAAATATTGGTAGGATAATTGCAACCATAAATAAAATCGGTCAAAGTACCTATCCTAAAGTGTATTAATATAAACAGGTATAAATTAGAGTACAATTTTTTTCATTTGCCTATTTTCAGTCTTAAAAAGATAGATAGCAACAAGCTCCAGTATTATCCACACTTAACTTACCTCTAAACCTGAGCTTTTGATTAAAACTGGTTGAGACACAAAGATTTTGATTTGTCTTGGGGTCAGATAGTGTATATTTTACATTGGCCTCAGTAGGTTTTCCACAAGAAATCTGTGTGAGATGATTTGGTTGGATGTGTGTTTTAAGTGCCTAAGTATTACGATAGAATAGTAAAAAAAGGTTTGACTATGAGCAGGAAATGAGGGCCCAATAATGAGTGCATATTGGAGGATTTACTATAAAATGACAATGATGCCAAACGTTGAGAAGTCAGTTAATGCCTAACTATTGGACGGCCTGACGATGAGAAGTCAGTTAATGCCTAACTATTGGACGGCCTGACTATGAGAAGTCAGTTAATGCCTAACTATTGGATGGCCTGACTATGAGAAGTCAATTATTGCCTAACTATTGAATGGCCTGACTATGAGAAGGCAATTATTGCCTAACAATTGGATGGCCTGACTATGAAAAGTCAATTATTGCCAAACTATTGGATGGCCTGACTATGAAAAGTCTAATGGTTTGACTATGAGATGGCGCTTATGGCCTAACTTTGAGGGGCCAATGATGGCCTATTTAAGTGGGAGGACATGGGGGACCTAACTTCAAGAGGAAAATAAGACTTACCCACAGGAGGGCCATGTGTCATCAGTATGTCTGTGTTAGACTTACCCATAGGAGGGCATGTGTCATCAGTATGTCTGTGTAAGACTTACCCACGGGAGGCCATGTGTCATCAGTATGTCTGTGTAAGACTTACCCACAGGAGGGTCATGTGTCATCATAATGTCTGTGTAAGACTTACCCACAGGAGGGCCATGTGTCATCACTATGTCTAAGTTAGACTTACCCACAGGAGGGTCATGTGTCATCAGTATGCCTGTGTAAGACTTACCCACAGGAGGGGCATGTGTCATCAGTATGTCTGTGGAAGACTTACCCACAGGAGGGCCATGTGTCATCAGTATGTCTAAGTTAGACTTACCCACAGGAGGGTCATGTGTCATCAGTATGCCTGTGTAAGACTTACCCACAGGAGGTCATGTGTCATCAGTATGTCTGTGTAAGACTTACCCACGGGAGGGCCATGTGTCATCAGTATGTCTGTGTTAGACTTACCCACAGGAGGTCCATGTGTCATCAGTATGCCTGTGTAAGACTTACCCACAGGAGGTCATGTGTCATCAGTATGTCTGTGTAAGACTTACCAACAGGAGGACCATGTGTCATCAGTATGTCTGTGTAAGACTTACCCACGGGAGGGCCATGTGTCATCAGTATGCCTGTGTAAGACTTACCCACAGGAGGGTCATGTGTCATCAGAATGTCTGTCTAAGACTTACCCACAGGAGGACATGTGTCATCAGTATGTCTGTGTAAAACTTACCCACAGGAGGACCATGTGTCATCAGTATGTCTGTGTAAGGCTTACCCACAGGAGGGCCATGTGTCATCAGTATGTCTAAGTTAGACTTACCCACAGGAGGGTCATGTGTCATCAGTATGTCTGTGTTAGCCTTACCCACAGGAGGGCCATGTGTCATCAGTATGTCGGTGAAAGACTTACCCACAGGAGGGCCATGTGTCATCAGAATGTCTGTCTAAGACTTACCCACAGGAGGGCCATGTGTAATCAGTATGTCTGTGTAAGACTTACCCACAGGAGGACCATGTGTCATCAGTATGTCTGTGTAAGCCTTACCCACAGGAGGATCATGTGTCATCAGTATGTCTGTACTAGACTTACCCACAGGAGGGCCATGTGTCATTAGTATGTCTGTGTAAGACTTACCCACAGGAGGGACATGTGTCATCAGTATGCCTGTGTAAGACTTACGCACAGGAGGTCATGTGTCATCAGTATGTCTGTGGAAGACTTACCCACAGGAGGGCCATGTGTCATCATTATGTCTGTGTAAGACTTACCCACAGGAGGGCCATTGTGTAAGACTTACCCACAGGAGGGCCATGTGTAATCAGTATGTCTGTGTAAGACTTACCCACAGGAGGGTCATGTGTCAGCAGTATGCCTGTGTAAGACTTACCCACAGGAGGATCATGTGTCATCAGTATGTCTAATACAGACATACTGATGACACAGGAGGATCATGTGTCATCAGTATGTCTGTACTAGACTTACCCACAGGAGGGCCATGTGTCATTAGTATGTCTGTGTAAGACTTACCCACAGGAGGGACATGTGTCATCAGTATGTCTGTGTAAGACTTATCCACAGGAGGATCATGTGTCATCAGTATGTCTGTATTAGACTTACCCACAGGAGGGCCATGTGTCATTAGTATGTCTGTGTAAGACTTACCCACAGGAGGGGCATGTGTCATCAGAATGTCTGTCTAAGACTTACCCACAGGAGGACATGAGTCATCAGTATGTCTGTGTAAAACTTACCCACAGGAGGACCATGTGTCATCAGTATGGCTGTGTAAGACTTACCCACAGGAGGGCCATGTGTCATTAGTATGTCTGTGTAAGACTTACCCACAGGAGGGTCATGTGTCATCGGTATGTCTGTGTAAGACTTACCCACAGGAGGGTCATGTGTCATCGGTATGTCTGTGTAAGACTTACCCACAGGAGGGTCATGTGTCATCAGTATGCCTGTGTAAGACTTACCCACAGGAGGTCATGTGTCATCAGTATGTCTGTGTAAGACTTACCAACAGGAGGACCATGTGTCATCAGTATGTCTGTGTAAGACTTACCCACAGGAGGATCATGTGTCATCAGTATGTCTGTATTAGACTTACCCACAGGAGGGCCATGTGTCATTAGTATGTCTGTGTAAGACTTACCCACAGGAGGGCCATGTGTCATCAGTATGTCTGTGTTAGACTTACCCACAGGAGGGGCATGTGTCATCAATATGTCTGTCTAAGACTTACCCACAGGAGGGACATGTGTCATCAGTATGTCTGTGTAAGACTTACCAACAGGAGGGCCATGTGTCATCAGTATGTCTGTGTTAGACTTACCCACAGGAGGGCATGTGTCTTCAGTATGTCTGTGTAAGACTTACCCACAGGAGGGCAGTGTGTCATCAGTATGTCTGTGTAAGACTTACCCACAGGAGGGTCATGTGTCATCGGTATGTCTGTGTAAGACTTACCCACAGGAGGGTCATGTGTCATCAGTATGTCTGTGGTAGATTTACCCACAGGAGGGCCATGTGTCATTAGTATGTCTGTGTAAGACTTACCCACAGGAGGGGCATGTGTCATCAGTATGTCTGTGTAAGACTTACCCTCAGAAGGGCCATGTGTCATCAGTATGTCTGTGTAAAACTTACCCACAGGAGGGTCATGTGTCATCAGTATGTCTGTGTAAGACTTACCAACAGGAGGGCCATGTGTCATCAGTATGTCTGTGTAAGACTTACCCACAGAAGGGCCATGTGTCATCAGTATGTCTGTGTAAAACTTACCCACAGGAGGGTCATGTGTCATCAGTATGCCAGTGTAAGACTTACCCACAGGAGGTCATGTGTCATCAGTATGTCTGTGTAAGACTTACCTACAGAAGGGCCATGTGTCATCAGTATGTCTGTGTAAGACTTACCCACAGGAGGGCCATGTGTCATCAGTAGGTCTGTGTAAGACTTACCCACTTGAGGGCCATGTGTCATAAGTTATCGGTATAATACTTACCCACAGGAGGGCCATGTGACATCAGAATGTCTGTCTAAGACTTACCCACAGGAGGGCCATGTGTCATTAGAATGTCTGTGTAAGACTTACCCACGGGAGGGTCATGTGTCATCAGTATGTCTGGGTTAGACTTACCCACAGGAGGGACATGTGTCATCAGTATGTCTGTCTAAGACTTACCCACAGGAGGGCCGTGTGTCATCAGTATGTCTGTGTAACACTTACCCACAGGAGGGCCATGTGACATCAGAATGTCTGTGTAAGACTTACCCAAAGGAGGGCCATGTGTCATCAGTACCCACAGGAGGGCCATGTGTCATCAGTATGTCTGTGTAAGACTTAACCATAGGAGGGTCATGTGTCATCAGTATGTCTGTGTAAGACTTACCCACAGGAGGGCCATGGGTCATCAGTATGTCTGTGTAAGACTTAACCATAGGAGGGACATGTGTAATCAGTATGTCTGTGTAAGACTTACCCACAGGAGGGACATGTGTCATCAGTATGTCTGGGTTAGACTTACCCACAGGAGGGCCATGTGTCATCAGTATGTCTGTGTAAGACTTACCCACTGGAGGGCCATGTGTCATAAGTATGTCGGTATAATACTTACCCACAGGAGGGCCATGTGTCATCAGAATGTCTGTCTAAGACTTACCCACAGGAGGGCCATGTGTCATCAGAATGTCTGTGTAAGACTTACCCACAGGAGGGTCATGTGTCATCAGTATGCCAGTGTAAGACTTACCCACAGGAGGTCATGTGTCATCAGTATGTCTGTGTAAGACTTACCCACAGGAGGGTCATGTTTCATCAGTATGCCTGTGTAAGACTTACCCACTGGAGGGCCATGTGTCATAAGTATGTCTGTGTGAGACTTAGCCACAGGAGGGTCATGTGTCAGCAGTATGCCTGTGTAAGTCTTACCCACAGGAGGTCATGTGACATCAGTAGGTCTGTGTAAGACTTACCCGCAGGAGGGTCATGTGTCATACAGGAGGGCCATGTGTCATAAGTATGTCTGTGTGAGACTTAGCCACAGGAGGGTCATGTGTCAGCAGTATGCCTGTGTAAGTCTTACCCACAGGAGGTCATGTGTCATCAGTATGTCTATGTTAGACTTACCCACAGGAGGGCCATGTGTCATCAGTATGTCTGTGTTTGTTGGTATATGCTTCCATTTCTCTAGGAGAGCCTCTCCTCGGGGTAGGCAAAATCCCCATCCCCCAAATGCTGGCTGCCTGTTGGAAGGAACATTCAATCAAGTTTGTACAGGATCTTTTACTGGTGTGTCAAGTTATTCATTTTGACATGCAATGTTTGTTTTAGCAAGATAACCCTCAAACTTTGTTCAGATTAACATTCAATAGTAGATGATGACCATAAACCTTGATTTTACTCTGACCTTGACCTTTAAAAGTTCCAAACCTTCATCTTAAAAACTGTAAATAATTTTAGACAAGAAGAACTACTCTAGTAACTGATGGAGTACCAATTCACTTATCAGTGATTTCTAAGACTGATTCAACATTACAGAACATTATACAGTTTTCATCTTTTTCAGTAGACCAGCTACTATAAATGAATTTGATTTTTACACACCCCCCCCCCCCCCCCTAAAATTTACGGACAATTAATTTACAATGTTGGGTGTGTATATATCCCATGACCTTTATACTTTCTCTTCATTTTTCATATCATATTCCTCAGTTGACAGATAACTCTTACAAAAGTATGAGTTGCCTCCCTTTGGTAGAGGTATGATAATTCTACATAGTGTTGAAGTTGTAGAAATATTTTTCCTCATTATCTGCCTTTAATGTTTATTTTTTTTGTTTTTTTTAAATTATGGTCAGCTGAAGATTTCACACATATTAATATGAATGAACGGCATTTTTTTCAATTTGATGCCGGTATAAACGCAAATCAGTTACATACATATTCCATGACGCCAAGTGCCTTTAAATCCCTATTTGAAAGATAATGAAATGAGAAGAAGCTGGATGTATCCCGAACTTACCATGGGGATCCATAGATATTGATCCCATACAGGCTGACCATAGAATCTTCTAGGTATATACAATTTGTCAGTAAGTCTTTCACACTTTTAACTTCCAAATCTGACATCTCATTCACATATTTGTTCATGGAACCAAACATAGGGTCTAAGTGATCTTTGCTCATGATGTTGTCATCAAATGATATCTCGTGGTTTCCAGCTATCACAATTTTGTGCTTGTGAGGCAATTGACCTGTCAGGAAAACAAAAATATATTTTAAAAGTTGAACAATACTTCCATTATAGATTTTAAGCTAGGCAACAGAAAGTATTTTAATTTTGTTTTTCTCTATTAGGTATTAGAGCTTTCCATTCTTTGCCTTAAACAAAATTTATGCATACATATATATATGGTCTCAAAACTCAGGTGAATTTTATAAAATTACATATGACTGGTTCTAAGGTTTATAAAGTGAGATAGCAATAAATAAAGAACTTGACCACTGATAACAATCTATGGATTATTAGAATGTAATAAAGAAATTAATGGGAGATAACTCTAACACAGGTAAAATTAGCAAAATATTGTTTATCCTCATACAACTCTAAAACAAGAGGCCCAGGGGCCTTAATAGCTCACCTGGTATTTTATTTTTCAATTTAAAACCTGCTGAGTACCATTCAGGTTTATCAAAGGAGTACAAGTAACAAAGTTGCATCTTCCATTTATAAATATTCAATTCCCTTTGCCCAAAGATTCTCTAAAACAAGTTTGGTTAGGTTAAAATCCCTTCAACGGTACAGAAGGAGAAGGATCTTTAATGTTTTCCTCTATTTCCCCTAATGGGCCCCACTAATCTGCCCCAAAGAAGGGGAATCCACACACCTCAGTTTAAACAAAATTGATTCTTTTCTCCCTAAGCATGCTTCAGACTGCATTTGGTTTAAATCCCTTCACTTGTATAGTAGGAGAAAAAAAATCCTCTATTTCCCCTATTGGGCCCCGCTCCTATGCCGCCAGAAGGCCCACACCCTCCGTTTATACAAACTTGAGTCTCCTTTGTCCAAAGATGCTCTAGGACAAATTTGGTCAAAATCCTTCAATTGGTTGAGGAGAAGATTTTTAAAGATTTACCTATTTTCCCCTATTTGGCCCCGTCCCTCTGCCCCCAGGGGGACCATACCCTCCGTTCATACAAAACTGAGAACCCTTTGGCCAATGATGCTCCAGACCAAATTTGGTCAAAATCCCTTCATCGGTACAAAAGGAGAAGGATATTTGATGTTTTCCTCTATTTCCCCTAATGGGCCCCACCCATCTGCCCTTAGAAGGAGGCCCACACACCTCAGTTTATACAAAATTGATTCTTTTGTCCCTAATCATGCTTCAGACTGCATTTGGTTAAAATCCCTTCACTTGTATAGCAGGAGAAAAAAAATCCTCTATTTCCCCTATTGGGCCCCGCCCCTCCGCCCCCAGAGGGGCCACACCCTCCGTTTATACAAACTTGAGTCTTCTTTGTCCAAAGATGCTCTAGGACAAATTTGGTCAAAATCCTTCAATTGGTTGAGAAGAAGAACATTTTTAAAGATTTACCTTTTTTCCCCTTATTTAGCCCCGCCCCTCTGCCCCGAGGGGGGGCTATACCGTCCGTTTATACAAAACTGAGAACCCTTTGGCCAATGATGCTCCTGACCAAGCTTCAGACTGCATTTGGTTTAAATCCCTTCACTTGTATAGTAGGAGAGAAAAAATCCTCTACTTCCCCTATTTGGCCCCGCCCCTCTGCCCCCAAAGAGGCCACACCCTCCGTTTATACAAACTTGAGTCTCCTTTGTCCAAAGATGCTCTAGGACAAATTTGGTCAAAATCCTTCTATTGGTTGAGAAGAAGAAGATTTTTAAAGATTTACCTATTTTCCCCCTATTTGGCCCCGCCCCTCTGCCCCCCGGGGGGTTATACCCTCCGTTTATACAAAACTGAGAACCCTTTGGCCAATGATGCTCCTGACCAAATTTGGTCAAAATCCTCTGAGCCATTCAGGACAAGTAGCATTTTAAAGGAAAAAGTTGACGGACGCCGGACGACTGACGCTGCACCATGGGATAAATCTTTCAAAAATCTTTCAAAATAATTTTAAACAATTATATATGCTATTTTAATCAGTATCCCAACTTCAATAAAACATAGCAAAATATGATTTGTTTAATTTTTATGTACAAACCTAAAAAAGTGTTAAACTTATGGACAGCATTAGGTTCTCCCTTCATGGTGAAGTCCCCTGCATGCAGTAAAATATCCCCATATGGTATCGTTTTGGGATCCTGGACTTCTATTTTAGAATGGGTGTCGGATATACAGACAACACGCACACAGTCAGCACTCACTGGAGTGTCCGAGTCAAGACGGTCTTTAGGTGGTATGTACTCGTATTTTGTCTTGACAAGTAAACGCTCCCAAGCTTTACAAGGAAACTTAGTATCGGCATCAACTGCAATAGGAAAGTCTGAGTCGGTGTCCAAGCTGTCATTCATAGCCATCTTGATAATTACAACAACAAAATTGGACCTGGGAAAAAAAGAAGAAAAAAAACAGAAATTCAATGTTTTTACTCATCTTATAATGTATTGGAAGTACCTGTTACAGCAGTTATTTTATTTTGTTTCACATTATTTTTCTGATTACACTTTATTTTAAGGACAATCCAGGGACAGTATATATATACGTCCCTGGACAATCTGATTAAAATACAGATGTTAATATCTATCATCTACAGCATTGATAACATGTACGTCTTTAGACATAGTCTAGTGTAAATGAAGATCTGTATTTTAATCACTCAGAGTGTTTTAAGAACTAATAAATGAAATCACTCTATCAATCCTAATGCTATGAATTCACGAGAAGAAAAAACGTAATCAAAACATGTGATTGTTGTTTTGACAGCAGGACTCTTGGCCGTTTTCGTTTAAACGGCCAAACCGGTCAGACCACAGTTGTTCGTTTATTAAATAAGGTCGGACCTAGTAATCTGATGCTGCTTTCAGTCGAGCCTTGACAAAATGCAAGGCTTTCATAAACATTTTCAGGTTCGCCAGGATTTATACCCGAAATTGCTACATTTATAAACGGTCAAACCGGCTGTTCCGCATAAACGAACAGGCCCCTAGCTAGTAAACAAAACACTGGTATCATGTAGGAAATTAAAAAGATCTTGTCTGATCCTTTTCCCGTGAAAAATTACTTTATAGATAACGACAAGTTATACTTTACCTCAAATCTTCGTCGCTCTGCCAAAATGTTTCGTCTGGTTAGATCTGTCATAATTTGTACATGTCTAAATTTAGTTTACAAACACCTAGCCGACACAGACTGGCATTGGAGCGCATACCTTTATAATGGTTTCACCGATTAAGCTTCTACAAGCGGTAGCGTTTACTACCACAACTGACACAACAAGTAAAGTTGATGGAACAACGAGACGATTGAAGTGTCATCTTGAATTATAACTTTCTATTCTATACACTTTACCAAAGAAATAGTTACCTCCCATTTATAAAAGTGTATGTATAAGCATTGATTATATTTATATCTAAATACTGTGGTTGATTTTTAAACATTACATTTTAACGGAGACGTATAAAGCCATTATAAGTGTTATATACGTCTCTGATTTTAACCACGTGCTGGTGGTAAAACAACAAATATTCTTTTAAAGCCTTTACTTAAATACCAGTAGATAAAATATCCATTTCCATCGTTTTGTCTAGTTTAATAGTAAAACGAGATGTGCGTTTTAGTAGCGGACCTATACGTGATAGAGTTTTCACAGATTAAATGAAGCATTTCTATTAAAATTCCATCATTTTACTCAAAAGCTTGATACAAATTATAAAATATATGTGATAGCTCTTTCTCTATTACAATTTATTTGATGATATTTTGGAAAATATCTTCGATGTTAAATTCCATTTTAATAATTCATTATTTTCGGGAAAATTGTATATATGTTTCTAAAATGTTGAATGTTTATCGTACAGGATGTTTCATAGAATCTGTTCTGAATATTGTTAACAAAATTATAATGTGTTAGTTGACGAAATTAACTTATAGTAAAATCACTAATTTTTGTTTTTTGTTTTTAATTTCAGTCATGGGTAATCTTCAATCCACAAATTCATAGTTCCGCAAAGTATCTAATTAGAATTTTGATGCATAGGAGAACCTGTCCGATCAAGTCTCACGAACATCACTAATTTATCATTGAACCACCTGATCATAGGAGAACCTGTCCGATCAGGTCTCACAAATATCACTAATTTATCATTGAACCACCTGATCAGATGTATAATGTGTATAACCACGCTTTGTTCCTGACTTTCATCTGTCGTTTGATGCAGTTGTACTGAATGTGGTTGCATATAATGTGACTCTTTGACAGTGCTTATGCATTTTATGTATGCATATGTTCCTTGCAATGTATACAAAAAAAAAAAAAAAAAAAAAAAAATATATATACATTTCCCCGTTATCTAGCTTGAGGACATTGTTGTTAAATGGAAAATTGGAAAACACATAATCTACACCAATCTACATACTAACTTCGGACACCCCCTTGTCCACCTGCTGACATCCCTGTGATGCCATACCTGTACACAGGTATATAGGTGTGTCTTAGGCCTTCTGCTGTCAGTACTGGACATAGATGTGTTTAGTGTTATTTACCTGTACATTAATGCCACACCTAATTAGGTAGGCTACGGTAGTGGATCGTGATGATTTTCATTAACTTGTGTATTTCATATGGAGAGAAAAAAGATTAAATCTCATAATTCGATTATATTTTCGAGATTGGTATAATTGAGCACCGCATTCATAAAGTATTGTTTTAAATTAACTGTGTAACTGTCGGTATTTTGGTGTTTATTTGAATTGTCCACCTAAAATTAATGACTATTAAGTAATACATGTATTTGAAATATGCCATATATTTTATTACCATTCAAAAACATAGCAGACACCAAAGATAAATGTAATTTTGAAAAAAAAAATCACTGATATATTTCCGTATTTTTGGACCGTAATTTAGTACCACAGTATATAACTTTACAATACAAATAATCCGGCACAGATACCGGTCACTAAATATGGTGCTGTTCAACGAAGACATGATGGAATAAGTTCTCGCTGTAGAGTTAAGAAAACGATTGAAAACTGACTTTCCAGCTAAAATTAAAGAATAATCATTTTGATCAACAATATAGAGAGTATTGCTGTTCAATTTCCCTCAAATTCGCACATTCGACAAAGAACGAGTGACTATTGGGCCGTTTTTAGACTCCGGTATTTCCGGATTTTCCTCCTTAATCTGTTCAAAGAAGTCCTATTGTATTACATGCACAAACACGAAGGCAAAAGTTTGACCGAAAGTGGGATTTTCGGAAACCTAAGGGAATAGGGAAAATCACAAATATAATTTGCTGTTTTTAAAATGAGCAAAAACAACCAAAATAATACCATTTTGGCTTTTGAAAACATGTGTAAATTAAACAGGAATATATAAAGAATGAAAAATGACAGAAATTCTATCAAAGGTTTATATAAAACGGAAGATTTAGTCAGGGGATTCTGTTAGTTAATTTTGAAATGAAAAGTGTTTTGTTTTCTCAATAATTTCCGTCCTACTTTCGTCCTTATTGAAATTTGAGTTGAAATTTACAACTGTACTCATTTGTGTACACTTACATAAAATGCATATTCATTACACGCTTTCCTTTTGTTTTATACTGAGTTTTGCTTCTGGACACATCTAAACTTGGCAATTTTAAATACCTCTCTATCTTAGATCAGAGACGTATAATACGTCTCTGCTTAGGTGAATAAATGGTGCCGGACACCCTTTGTATAATATGAAAAGGTGCAGGACACCCTTTGTATGATATGAAAAGGTGCAGGACACCCTTTGTATGATATGAAAAAGTGCAGCACACCCTTTGTTTGATATAAAAATGTGCAGGACACCCTTTGTATGATATGAAAAGGTGCAGGACACCCTTTGTATGATATGAAAAAGTGCAGCACACCCTTTGTTTGATATAAAAATGTGCAGGACACCCTTTGTATGATATGAAAAGGTGCAGGACACCCTTTGTATGATATGAAAAGGTGCAGGACACCCTTTGTATGATATGAAAAGGTGCAGGACACCCTTTGTATGATATGAAAAGGTGCAGGACACCCTTTGTATGATATGAAAAGGTGCAGCACACCCTTTGTATGATATGAAAAGGTGCAGCACACCCTTTGTATGATATAAAAAGGTGCAGCACACCCTTTGTATGATATAAAAAGGTGCAGGACATCCTTTGTATAATATGAAAAGGTGCAGGACACCCTTTGTATGATATGAAAAGGTGCAGGACACCCTTTGTATAATATGAAAAGGTGCAGGACACCCTTTGTATGATATGAAAAGGTGCAGCACACCCTTTGTATAATATGAAAAGGTGCAGGACACCCTTTGTATGATATGAAAAGGTGCAGGACACCCTTTGTATAATATGAAAAGGTGCAGGACACCCTTTGTATGATATGAAAAGGTGCAGCACACCCTTTGTATAATATGAAAAGGTGCAGGACACCCTTTGTATGATATGAAAAGGTGCAGGACACCCTTTGTATGATATGAAAAGGTGCAGGACACCCTTTGTATGATATGAAAAGGTGCAGCACACCCTTTGTATGATATGAAAAGGTGCAGCACACCCTTTGTATGATATGAAAAGGTGCAGCACACCCTTTGTATGATATGAAAAGGTGCAGCACACCCTTTGTATAATATGAAAAGGTGCAGCACACCCTTTGTATGATATGAAAAGGTGCAGCACACCCTTTGTATAATATAAAAAGGCAAAGCCTGTAAAGTGCGTAGCGATGCAGAATAAGATAAGCTTTATTTAAAGTCGGCAAGTCGAAGAATAACGACTTAACACAAACTCTAATGAGCTTTAAGAACGTAATTTATGCAGAATTAAGCTTACCCGTTTAACGAAAAAACAGTTGCGAGCATGTTGACTCCGTGGCGCAACGGTAGCGCGTCTGACTCCAGATCAGAAGGTTGCGTGTTCAAATCACGTCGGGGTCATTATCATTATTTTACTAAAATTAACCAATTTACAAAATCGGCTATACCAGTGAACAGTGACGGATCCAGAGGTTTTTAGGGGGTTTCAATGGAAATGCTTGTAAATCATGATGGTTTGGTAAGCATTACATTAATTGATAAATAATATACAAAATATTTATATTGGTCCTAAAGTTAACGCTAAGGTCATTACTTATACATTGTCTTGACTTAAGACCACATTGACATCATACTTAAAACGACATGATGGATCAAATTTGCATGAAGGTCTATCCAATGATCAATAAACTTCTATTGGAGTCTGTTTAGACCTTTAAGTATTCACCACTTCAGCAGGTAAATTATTCCAACAGCTTCATTTAATTGAACGTTTGCTGAAAAATGTAAGTTTGTGGTGCTGAAACGACATCGATTCTTGTAATCATTTATGATCTCGAAAACTTGTGCAATGTCACTTCTAAGTATTCAACATTAAGGGTGGGCAATCTTAATTGTGATGGGATTTCGACAAAAACTGGTGGGAGGGTGAACAATAATCTTATAATACTAGATCCAGACTTATCAACGGTCATATTAAAATAACGTTATATTCTGGACTAACAAGATATTAAGCAAAGAATTAATTGAAATATGGAATAAACGGGGAAACTGCAACATCTTTACGGAATGTTTTATATTGAGTCATGTGCTATCCTATTCGGGGTTAGATTATCCGGACACTGCAGGTTCCACCTGCAACGACAACAGAGTTATCTCTCTTGTCCAAAAGCAGGTAAAAATCCTGTGCGATATGCTGGTCTGGATTTTGGTGTTGTGTAATATCGAGATTATATGACATGCTGTTGATGAAGGACAATAATGTGCCTACATAGCATAAAGTGTTGGAATCGGATATATTCTCGAGTTATTTAGACTATGTGGAAATCTGAACGGAAAGCAGTGCTACTGCTAGGCCGATAACGGTAGTCAGTACAACAGGTGCCCGTCGATATAATTAGTATAGGCTTGTATATCTATTCCTTATGATAACATCACAAAACGTTTATGTCCTTCTGAAGCATGTGTAGTTATAATCAACGCTGATTAAAATTATGAAAATGTGATGCGTGCAAGAGGCGATCGATGACTGTTATGAACTCATAACGTTTCCCGATGTGTATTGCAAGGCTCTGCATGATAATTGCGTTGACATCGCATTGCATCATGGGTATTGACACATGCGCACTGAACCGTCAGCCATTTTCTGCAGAATGTTTTGCCTGATGAAAAATTCGATGTAAATATGGCTTACTTTGAATCAACATTCTGTAAAGATGGCTTCATTGTGTGGATCTACAGCTATACAGGAATATCAGACTACATTATGCACGGTATGTTATCGCCCTTATTTGCCCAAGGAGTCGGTGGCTTTCGTTCAGTGACCCTAACGTTGACACTAATCGGTTGCTCGCGTCCGGGTCTGGGATGTTAAAAGTTACACGCGAAATTACTTCTAAAATTATTTTGACAGCCGCTTTACAACATGTGTACTTTCGATTTGTAATTCCTAACAACATTTCGTACACCATAATTGCAAAATTCTTGTAGTTTTTAATTAAATACGATGTAAAAACAGTTCGACAGTGTCCATGTGTGTACACTTTCGTAACCGCAAAATGTCAACAAAAAGGTGACGGGACGTTCACTGGTGTATGTAACGTAAACAGTGTACCGTAACGGGTGATCCCACCGGGACACACCGAAACGTGTTTCCTTGTTTATGTTTAAATTAGTTACGTCATATTTTCGAAGATTGAGCTGCTAACCTAGATAAGCTAGTCGGACAGACATAGCCGTCTGCTTTCCCATTTATTTAGGTCATGAAACCAGACACATTCTGAGACACAAGTGGCATTATAATCAGAAAATCCGTTTGCTGTCCTATTTTACAGGTTCGCATTTGTAACATTTGAAATTAACTGCATCTTTTGTTTGTCAAGACCAATTAAATATTAGTAAAAAGGAAGAACTATATAATTAAATCATAATATCTAGGCTAGTAGCTTTAAGGCTATAGGTTACATGTTGGTCAGAAATGTGCAGAGATACTTTTCCCCATTAAATATGTTTTAAAGAGGAGATGTAATTGTATTCTTCATTTTCTATTTGTAATGGGACCATTCTTCCAGCAGCAATTTTAGTACCATGTCACCTAATCACGAAGATCGATACTTTTATTTAATACCAACTCTCACTAATTTTGAAAGAGAGTCAGACTCTTGATTTTGAACCCTAAAATTGAGCATGTTCAACAAGTGACTTTGCTGTAAACTATTCTGGAGGAATACTATTTCCTAAGATCTGATGATGTTATCTGAAAGAACAGCTCCAAACATGTCATCAAACACATCATTTAAAGGTGTTATGTACACACATTTTATTCATGATTTTCATTCTGAGCAAGTGTTTTTTCCCCCATGAAAATTATAAAAAAAAGTATGATATTGCAGTGCATATACTGTACACAACCAAGGCCATATCTTAATCCACCCTAGGTCGCTGGAGTAAGCAAGAAACGTTATAATTAAGCATCTTGCTCAAGGATACAAAATACATATATGTCTAGATTTGTTTTATATATTATTTATCATGATTCCTCTATAAGTGTTTGCCATTTCAGCCTACATGTAGTTTCAGTCTTTAATTGCAGTTAAAGGTCCCCATATATCCATGTCACTGCCAAATACATAATAGAGATGAAATTAACAAAAAACAATCAGCAAAGTATTCTAGGTACACGTGTACAAAAATCAGCTTGTCTACACCAGGATTCCAACCCTGGACTTCAACTGTTTTGCTGTAGCTTTAACCAACTAAACTACTCGGTCAACGGAAGTGTCACAAACCAACTGTCCTACATTAACATTTATGTATCCAAAACAAAATATATGAAAAACCACAGTGCAGTAGGACAGGGAACCTTATAGACCAATCAGAAGTAAGGAAACATTTTTCACTGAATATTTAAGTTTGTCGTGACAGTTCTACCTGACAGCTGACTTCAAATCACGGACTTGTCATTATAGGCAAGCATACACTACTGCGGTACAGTGTCTCTTTGTGGGGGGNTAAATTATATTTGGGTGTCTTATTCATTTTTCCAGTATGAAGATTATACCTGTAGGGCTGTCATATAGGGGAAGCTGGTTTATCACAAAATACAGCAGGGTTTTTGCCTGGTGTTTATAGGGTCCGGTACAGGGACCCTGTAGCTACAATTATAGCTTATATTATGTGTGAAACGTTCAAAGTATTACTGTCAATAAAGGAGCATTCAAAATACGTCAATAATATATAATGGTAATTTGAAATTTCTTCTTCTTCTGTATTAGGGGACTGCGAATCATGGTCATGACATCCTGGCCAAGTACAATGTTTGTTTTAATTATGAATTTATTTTGTTCACTTAGATAAGAAAAGAAATTGCTATTGTGGATGAAATTCAACCTTGACATAGGTCATATGCTTTCAATGAGTTTCATTTCTCCTTTGAACTTATATTTTTATTTTCATGAAAACAGAAGTTAATGTTTTAAAAAATCTGTCTTTTGTCTTTTCAGATATGTTTAGTAACATAGTTTTTGAAGCATGATGTGTTTTTCTGAATGGAAACGAAAAAGACAGTGAATAACTCGCATGAAGACATTGACTATATAGTGAACTTGTGTCAGAGAAGGGCAGTGCTGTGTGTGAACGGTCGGCTTAAGGCTATTGTGTTAGATGATGGGATGAAGGCCTGGGCAGTGGTGGTGTGATATTATGGATCCTAACCACCGGAATGCCCAGCCTATGGGAGCCGGCATGTCCCATATGTTCCCTGTGGCCCAGGGGACAGGGTACGAGCTGCAGTATGGGCAGGTGCAGGGATTCCAGCAGGCACAGAACAAACCCTTCAACATACCTGGCATGATGGGAAATAACGCCTTCATCCCAAATTATCCCATGATGCACCAAGGCCAGGGGTCTGTTCTCGCTAATGTTCAGGGCGGGATGCCGACAGCCGGGTCAGGTAGCACTGGAGCTCTGCCGTCCATGGGGACGTTTGTTGGTAATTTTAATCAGGCTAATATCACCATGGGGCATTGTGTGCTGCCCAACACTGGCTATAAAGGTCTGGACAGTTGGCACAGTCCCTCCCAGCAGTCTGCAGGGGCAGTCAACGCTCTGCCTAGCTTTGGACACTTTCTCATGCATCAGCCATACCAGCAACCCTCTACACAGCAACAACACCAACAACAACAACAACAGCTTCAGCAACAACAACTGCAACAACAGATCTTTCAAACCAATCAAAACCAAAATCGATTCCCAAGCGCCTTACTACAACATGGAAATCTAGGCCAATTTGTACCCAATTCCTCAAATGTTTCTGGAATGATTGCAAACCTTGGAAATCAACCGCAAAGCTTCAGCAGCGTAAATATGAAAATCAACATGAGTGCTAATCTGGTTGGTAACTTCAGCCAGTTTTCTAACGCTAATGTGATGGGATGTCAAAACCTGCCTGGACCTGCTAATCCTTGTGGTGCTACAGTGCTGAATTCGTCTCAAGTCCCCAGTAGTAGTGTTACTCCCTGTCTACAGCCACAGTTGACGTTATCATCCCCGCCCATCATGTCTTCGCACGTTGCTGCCAGCTGTAACCAGGTTACCAGCACCACTTCCTCTGTCATCACCATCAACAGCACTACGTGTACAACACCTGTCATAGCACACATGCATAGCACGTCTGTTACGCCAGCTGTCGTTCCGTCAACGCATGTCACCATGGCAACATCACATAGCAACATATCGGCTGTGGTAGACAGGAAGTTGGTGGGCACATCAATAACAAAAAAGGAACCATATCTACTAGGTTGTGATTATAAGGGACAGGAGGATATAAAACCTACACTTCAGTGTTCTAGTAAAGGAGGGTCAGACACTCCAGGTCAGTCAGGCCCACCCTCATCTAACCATGTGATCATCCCCTTTGGTTGGAGAAGGGTAGTGGAAGAAGGTGCTATTGTCTACTACAGGTAACTACAGAAAACAAATTTCATTTATCTTGGCCATAATTTTAAGTTTCTAAGGAACAGAAAAGTGATCAGGAGACATTCTTATTGAAAACCATTTACAAGTAATAGTTATGACATCTAAAGATTCAGTGCAAATCTTTTTCAATTTAGATTTTGTGATTAAGCTTTCTTACAATTCAAAAGTAAAAATTCTTCAAAGATCTTACTTTTTATGCTATTGCTCATTTCACACTTTAGGTAGCTAAAAACAGTTAACTAAAATATAGAGAAATGTATGCAAAAGTATATACTTGCAAAATTCTCCAACGACATTTGTTTCCTGTTTCAGTCCAAGTAATACCAAATTGTCTTCAACTCAAGAGATTGGTCAGTATTTGTCCAGAGAAGGTACATGCAAGTGTGGGCTGGAATGTCCAGTGATGGTGGACAAAGTGTTCAGTTTTGACATAACAATTCAATCAAGGCAGTGGATGTTAGACGTTCATTGTGCAGAAGATCTGACCAAACTTTGTAATCATAAACGAAAAATAATTGCCATGGCGACATTTCAGAACAGTCGAACATTTCAATCCTCATTACCAGTGACATCACCTGTGTCAACACAATGTGTGACGAGTGTGGCTATCAGTTCCAGCTTATCTACATCAACTACCACCAGTATTACAACCCCGGTCCCCTGCAACTCCAAAAAAGGTCAGTATATTATTACCACCAGTATATATATCTACCCTGGTCCCCAGCAACTCTAAGAAAGGTCAGTATATTACTGCCACCAGTATTACAACCCCGGTCCCCAGCAACTCCAAAAAAGGTCAGTATATTATAATTACTGCCACCAGTATTACAACCCCGGTCCCCAGCAACTCCAAGAAAGGTCAGTATATTATAATTACTGCCACCAGTATTACAACCCGGGTCCCCAGCAACTCCAAGAAAGGTCAGTACGTATAATATCACTGACATTATAATAACCCTGGACCCTTGCAACCCAAAGAAAGGTCAGTATATAACTACTGCTGGAGTTACTTATCAGGACAACGCACTTCCAAGAAAGGTAAGCCACAAGTGTTACTTCCCCAAGGCCTCTCTACACTTTCACTAGTGTTATATGCTTATTTGTTTACTCCTACCAATATAAACTCCCCTGTCTGTTTACTACCACCAGTATTACCTCCACTGTCTGTTTACCTTACCAGTATTACCTCCCCTGTCTGTTTACCTTACCAGTATTACCTCCCTGTGTCTGTTTACTACCACCAGTATTACCACCAGTATTACCTCCCCTGTCTGTTTACTACCCACAGTAATACCTCCCCTGTCTGTTTACCTTACCAGTATAACCTCCCCTGTCTGTTTACTACCACCAGTATTACCACCCGTCTGTATACTACCACCAGTATTACCTCCCTTGTCTGTTAACCACCACCAGTATTACCTCCCCTGTCTATTTACTACCACCAGTATTACCTCCCCTGTCTGTTTACCTTACCAGTATTACCTCCCTAGGTCTGTTTACTACCACCAGTATTACCTCCCCGTGTCTGTTTGCTACCACCAGTATTACCTCCCTTGTCTGTTTACTACCACCAGTATTACCTCCCCTGTCTATTTACTACCACCAGTATTACCTCCCTTGTCTGTTAACAACCACCAGTATTACCTCCCCTGTCTGTTTACTACCACCAGTATTACCTCCCTTGTCTGTTTACTACCACCAGTATAACCTCCCCTGTCTGTTTACTACCACCAGTATTACCTCCCTTGTCTGTTTACTACCACCAGTATTACCTCCCCTGTCTGTTTACTACCACCAGTATTACCTCCCTTGTCTGTTTACTACCACCAGTATTACCTCCCCTGTCTGTTTACTACCACCAGTATTACCTCCCTTGTCTGTTTACTACCACCAGTATTACCTCCCCTGTCTGTTTACTACCACCAGTATTACCTCCCTTGTCTGTTTACTACCACCAGTATTACCTCCCCTGTCTGTTTACTACCACCAGTATTACCTCCCTTGTCTGTTTACTACCACCAGTATTACCTCCCCTGTCTGTTTACTACCACCAGTATTACCTCCCTTGTCTGTTTACTACCACCAGTATTACCTCCCCTGTCTGTTTACTACCACCAGTATTACCTCCCTTGTCTGTTTACTACCACCAGTATTACCTCCCCTGTCTGTTTACTACCACCAGTATTACCTCCCTTGTCTGTTTACTACCACCAGTATTACCTCCCCTGTCTGTTTACTACCACCAGTATTACCTCCCTTGTCTGTTTACTACCACCAGTATTACCTCCCCTGTCTGTTTACTACCACCAGTATTACCTCCCCTGTCTGTTAACAACCACCAGTATTACCTCCCCTGTCTGTTTACTACCACCAGTATTACCACCCCTGTCTATTTACTACCACCAGTATTACCTCCACTGTCTGTTTACCTTACCAGTATTACCTCCCCTGTCTGTTTACCTTACCAGTATTACCTCCCCAGGTCTGTATACTACCACCAGTATTACCACCCCTGTCTGTATACTACCACCAGTATTACCTCCCTTTTCTGTTTACTACCACCAGTATTACCACCCCTGTCTGTATACTACCACCAGTATTACCACCCCTGTCTGTATACTACCACCAGTACTACCTCCCTTTTCTGTTTACTACCACCAGTATTATCTCCCTTGTCTGTTTACAATCACCAGTATCACCTCCCCTGTCTGTTTACTACCACCAGTATTACTTCCCCTGTCTGTATAATACCACCAGTGTTACCTCCTCTGTCTGTATAATACCACCAGTGTTATCTCCCTTATCAGTATTTTACCACCAGTATAACCTCCCTTGTCTGTATACTACCACCAGTATAACCTCCCTTGTCTGTTTACTACCACCAGTATTACCTCCCCTGTCTGTTTACAATCACAAGTATCACCTTCCCTGTCTGTATAATACCACCATTATTATCTCCCCTGTCTGTATAATACCACCAGTGTTACCTCCCTTGTCTGTTTACTACCACCAGTATTACTTCCCCTGTCTGTTTACAAACAAAAGTATCACCTTCCCTGTCTGTATAATACCACCATTATTACCTCCCCTGTCTGTATAATACCACCAGTGTTATCTCCCTTATCAGTATTTTACCACCAATATTACCTCCCCTGTTTGTAAACCACCCACAGTGTTATCTTCCTTGTGTCGTGTGTGTATACTACCAGCAGCAATATTTTCCTGTATTATAGAATTAAAACCATGAAATTCTAAAATTGATATTTATTTCTTTACGTAGGTACAGGTGAAAATAACTTGTTTATTGTTAAAAAGCTCCTTAAATTGTCTACGTCTTTTCTCTTCTGTCCCAGTTCATTTACACCAGTGAAATCAAACCAGCATCATTAATCGCTAGATACATGTATAGTCAAACCTGTCTTAGCGGCCACCTGTTATAAACAGTGACCTGTCGTTAGCAGTCGGTTTTCCTACCCCAGTTTGACTGTTGACATCACCTCAATTATAAACATCTCGTGAATGACACTCGATTACTGATGGGCGTATGGTTATCTAGCACTACCCTTCAAGACAATAGATAGCCAAACATTGGCAAAATTAATATAAAGGACTTAAAATATATATAAAAAAAAAAAGGATTTAGTAACACAAGATAAACAGAGTGTACTATCACAATACTCATGATGAATTGTCTTAGAATTTCATCAGCATGTCATAAATGATTTTTGTTCATTCTAAACTTGTTGGTAGATGTTATAAAATCCTACTTATTCACGGTCACATGGGTCAAATATAAAAAAAAAAAAAAAAAAAAAAAAATTTTTTAAAAAAAANAAAACTGACAGGTCTAGAGTCAGGATATCTGGCTTCCAGGGACATCGATAGAGCCTGGGAAAGTTTGATAACTAATTATATGACCTTGACCCTCTATTTTGGTCACAGAGGTACAACATGTCAAAACATTCAAGTGACTTCTTCTGAAGATTCAAAATGCCTAGAGTCATCTTACTTGGCTAGTAGCTTTCTGGGGTGGAGCCTGGCACAGTTTGGAAACAAATATGGCCCTGACCTTTTTTCATCATAAGAGTCAAATGTCTAAACATTTAGACGATTTCTTTTTAGCCTATCATCATCTGATGGTGGGCTATTCAAATCACCCTGTGTCTGTGGTCCGTCGTCAGTCCTTAAACAATTCTTGTTATCGGTATTTCTCAAGAAGTACTGGAGGGAACTTTCTCAAATATTTTAGGTAGGTTCCCCTTGGTCCTTAGCTGTGCAGGGCAACTAGTAAACAACATGGCAGACAGGTAGCCATCTTGGAATTTGATACTGATGGTTTGTTGTCGCTATTTCTCGGGAAGTACCAGAGGGATCTTTCTCAAATTTTATATGTAGGTTCCCCTTGTTCCCTTGTTGTGCAGCAGTGTCTGAAATAGATGGTTGGCTGCTCGCCAATGGCGATTAAAATCTTGCTCGGGTGACCAAAAGTTGTCAAAAGTGAGGTAGTCACTGGCCCAACAAAAATAGTTTGGGCGACTGTTGAAAATTAATGAATTAAAGAAAGTATAGTCCCTTCCACATTAACTGGGGGGGCAGTACATTTTTCAGTTATCATTACTTCAATTTGAATCGAACTGTCCGTGATTTAGAACATGTGATGATTTTTTTTCAGATTTTCTATATAAAAATACTGCCAGGGTGTCTTCTTTGAGGTGCGAGTTTTGTGTATTTCTTTGGGAAATACTGAATGGAGTGGTTCATGTCGGGTTTTAACTAGGGATGAAGAATCAAAAATATAATGTTTTATTCTGTTTTACATATTACAAACATTGTCATGTTATATATAATTTAAATGTGCTAAAGCATTGTGTTAAATGCTGTGGAAATATTTCTTCCAAAAATTATTTGGGCCACCAATATATAGATCAAAAGTTACCTCAAGGTGCATTTACTGTCAACATGACTCGATCAAACAGATTAGAGGAAAGAAGAGAAAAGATCGAACTGACAAAGAACTAATGAAGATGGTACAATGGTGGGCACCAAGATCCCTTTTGGATCTCTTATTATATACACTTCAAATGTTTTTAACTGAATACATTTGTCATCATTTAGGAGTATTTAAAAAAATATTAATTCATATTTGTACAGATTTGTTTTATAAATTAGTTCTGGCCTGGGATATCGCAATGGGGCTCTTGGTAATCTTGCACACTTAATATATATATAACTTGTCTACTTGAAGTGAATACACTTAAACAGTTATATTAAGGTACATCTTTTAGTTTGCTATCTTGATTATTGCCAATGACATGTATTGCAGGGTGTTTATTTTTATGATGACACTTAAATCTGTAATATTTTGTCAATCGTCCTCACATGAGTATTAACCCTGGACGGATTGGTCGAGTGGTTAACACTCCGGCCTTCCAAGCAGGCGGCCGGGGTTTGATCCCCGAAGTCGCTGTACGCATGGAATATTCAGAGAAAGTGTTTTTCTCCTGCCCACACAACTCCAACAACCTAGATGGAGTATAAAATGGTCTGGGGTGGGTGTTGCGGTATCTATGCTGTAGCATTCAAGTGAGGTGGCACTATAAATGATACCATTAGAATCACGGTCCCACTACAAACAGAACACAATACATATCCAGCACACACACAGGCATACGCACATAGGGAGATATTAGCCAGGTGGCATAGGACTAGTAGTTAGCGCCTGATAAGGCAGCTCCTGTGAATTCCTCAATATTGTATTGATTTAAAAATATATGCTAATTGTATTGACTGTATAAAATTGTATATCTATGTACTGTAAAGCGCTTTAGAGCGGTTTATGTTAGCTAGATAGGGCGCTATATCAAATGTTGTATATTATTATTTATTTATGTGAGGCATTAAAAAACAAACAACATATTTTGTCAAGCCTCTTCATTATATAAACTCTCAATACTTGGTTTACTGTGTATTACTAGAGTAAAATGGTTTACTCAGCAAAATACTTAAAGCAGCGTTGAGCTTAACAGACCAGGACAAGTGGATGCTAGCTATAGGCAGCACTTGTGTTCAAAAAATAAATAAAACTATGACCAGATCAATAATAATAGAATTGGTGAAGTAATGAAAGGTGGCTGATGTGTAGATATAATTGACAAGTTGGGCTATCTCAAGTGACTAACTCGCAGACGTGCGTGCAACAATCGATTGTTTCACTATCGAAATTTGCAATGTGTGCTTGCCTTCCCATGCCCAGCATGCACTTGCTAGACGTACATGCCAAATCTCCGGGGCAATCAAAGTACATGGCATCCGATACTAGAGTTAGCTCAGAGCTGTGCGTTTTTATAGTCAGGTTTTTATGTGGTACCATATCACACAGACTGTATCCAGTGAAATAAAGTCTATTGATTAATGTACCTATCCCCAACACGCCTTTAGCACTCTTAACGTTCTTGTTGCATGATAAGCAATCAATTCTACAAATAATCTTTATTGTACAGGATTTTACAATGTCGGATATTGAATTATGCTGCTTGATTGATGAAATCAGTGTGAAGTATTAAAAAGAAGTCCAATGATCAAATTTTACTTACAAATATTTATTTCTGTTTAGAGTTACGTCCAGAAAAGAAGGTGTGTAAGCATTTAGTTTTGCTTTTCATAAAGCTTTTCCTGCATTGTCTGTATGGAACACAAATCCTGACTAAAGCAGTGCTTGTCTGAAAAAGTAGAACATTTCCATGGTCCATGATAACCTGTTACAAATGATATATATGTTTAATTTGTTAAACCGATTATAGCTAACTCAAAATTGTCATTTGCCGGTAGTTGTAGCAGTTTTACCTAGGTAATTGTGCCAAGTATTAACCATTGTTATACTATGTAACCATGGTCCTCTCTGAAGTGTCCCGTTTGCCGGTAGTAGTATCAGTTTTACCTAGGTAATTGTGCCAAGTATTAACCATTGTTATACTATGTAACCATGGTCCTCTCTGATGTGTCCCGTTTGCCGGTAGTTGTAGCAGTTTTACCTAGGTAATTGTGCCAAGTATTAACCATTGTTATACTATGTAACCATGGTCCTCTCTGAAGTGGCCCATTTGCCGGTAGTTGTAGCAGTTTTACCTAGGTAATTGTGCCAAGTATTAACCATTGTTATACTATGTAACCATGGTCCTTCTCTGAAGTGTACCATTTGGCTTGACCAGGTTCTTTGTAACCAATTTTCAGACACCTGGTAAAAATTAATACTTTGTATTTCTGGACTGGAAAAAAAAATTAATAATTCATCAACGTCGGTGATTGCACACAACCGTGTGTCTGATCCAATTCCAATGCAATATATAGACAGTAAGACCTCAATATGATGACCTGCTTCATTTGCCTCCTTGCTTACTGCAAACATATTTCATAGAATTTTTTCTTATATTCTTAAGAATTCCTTTTATTGTGTTACCCTCGATTTATCATCAAACCCTTTTATATCGCCATAATGTCTCTTGGCAAAAGGTGACAATATAATGGGAGTTTTTTCTGTATGGAAAACATAATAATAGTAATTGATCATGATGTTTTAATTTGTCTACATTTATGAACTATCAGTATAAACAGGTGGGAAAAATTGATGTTAATTTGTCAGTAATAGTATTTAATTTGTAACAGTTCTATAGAAATCAGTGTGAAATGTATGCTACTGTGTTAATTAAATTGTAGGAATTAATAACAATGTACTTGGTGCACAACAGATACATACCAGTATGATGAATTATATACTCTTCACCCTAAATATTGGGTTAACATAACATAAAAAACATGACATTTAAATGCATTTATTGAAAATATAAAGAGAAAAAGTTAATTAAAAAATAATTTATATATATGTAAAAGAAATGTCAATTTCAATGAGTATGTTTTGTATTTATATACAAAACACTTATACATATAAACAATTGTTATTATTATTTTTCTATTGATCAGTATACATCTGGAGTTTCTATACAAATTTAATTTAACAAACCATTTTTAGGTCACCTGAGCTTTGCTCAAAGGGAAAATTAACCAATATTTCAAAAATCTTCTTCTCCAGACTCAGTGGTACTACACTCATTTTCTCTACATGGAAAGAAAGATTATCAGGGGCTTCACTTAAAATGTAAATTTCAGGACCCCCAAGCTATCCGTTCTCCCTTGGGGAGGGGGTAAAGTTTACAATAGTTTATATAGGGAAATAACACTTTACGGTATATTTTGACAACTTTCTGTAGGAAATTATTTTTTCTTGTTGAGAATTATCCTTGGAGGCTTCTTGCATCAATTGTAAAATTGAGATTCCTACCCCAACCCCTGGGGCCAGGGCGGGGCCCCAAAGGGAAAATTAACCAATATTTCAAAAATCTTCTTCTCCAGACTAAGAGGTACTACACTCGTTTTCTCTACATGGAAAGAAAGATTATCAGGGGCTCCACTTAAATTGTAAATTTCAGGACCCCCGAGCTATCCGTGCTCTCTTGGGGAGGGGGTAAAGTTTACTATAGTTTATATAGGGAAATAACACTTTTGGGTATATATATTTTATCCATTCTCAGCAGAAAATTACTCAAACTTAGTCAGAATCATCTTTGGTGAATGAGAGTATTACTTTGTAAAATTGGGATTCCTGCCCCATCCCCAGGGGCCAGGGCGGCGCCCCAAAGGGAACATTTACCAATATTTTCAAATTCTTATCCTTTGATGACATGACTAGTATTGTATTTCACTTAGTTTACATGCGGATTTCCAAATCACATCTAAACAATAAAATAAAGCTACCAGTACCTATGATATAACTCAGGTGACCACTAAGGCCCTTGGGCCTCTTGTTGATATACCTGTAAAAGGGTAGAATTTCCCAATCCAGTTTTGTATAAGCGACAGTGTATATAATGGGAAAAAATGTCCATATGCCCCACAACTCTTCATGCTTGGGTAGAATTTATGTGTCTCCCGACACCTCTAGCTGAGATATAGTATAATTTCTATATCCCAACTTACAGGTACTTAATTATGATAGGGGAGAATTTCTATACTCCCACACTTACAGGTACTTGCTTATGATAGGGGGCGGGGGGGAAGTTCTATACTCCCACACTTACAGGTACTTAATTATGATAGGGGAGAATTTTTATACTCCCACACTTACAGGTACTTGATTATGATAGGGGAGAATTTCTATACTCCAACACTTACAGGTACTTAAATATGATAGGGCAGAATTTCTATACTCCCACACTTACAGGTACTTAATTATGATAGGGCAGAATTTCTATACCCCCCACACTTACAGGTACTTGATTTTGATAGGGCAGAATTTCTATACTCCCACACTTACAGGTACTTGATTATGATAGGGGGGGAATTTCTATACTCCCACCTACAGGTACTTAATTATGATAGGGGAGAATTTCTATACTCCCACACGTACAGGTACTTAATTATGATAGGGGAGAATTTCTATGCCCCCCACACTTACAGGTACTTAATTATGATAGGGGAGAAATTCTATACTCCCACACTTACAGGTACTTAATTATGGTAGGGGAGAATTTCTATACTCCCAGACTTACAGGTACTTAATTATGGTAGGGGAGAATTTCTATACCCCCCACACTTACAGGTACTTAATTATGATAGGGGAGAATTTCTCTACTCCCACACCTACTGGTACTTAATTATGTTAGGGGAGAATTTCTATACTCCCACACTTACAGGTACTTAATTATGGTAGGGGAGAATTTCTATACCCCCCACACTTACAGGTACTTAATTATAATAGGGGAGAATTTCTCTACTCCCACACTTACAGGTACTTATGACAGGGGAGAATTTCTATACCCCCACACTTACAGGTACTTAATTATGGTAGGGGAGAATTTCTATACCCTCCACACTTACAGGTACTTAATTATGATAGGGGAAAATTTCTATACCCCCCACACTTACAGGTACTTAATTATGATAGGGGAGAATTTCTATACTCCCACACTTACAGGTACTTAATTATGATGTGGCAGAATTTCTAAACTCCCACACTTACAGGTACTTGATTATGATAGGGGAGAATTTCTATACTCCCACACTTACAGGTACTTAATTATGATAGGGGAGAATTTCTATACCCCCCACACTTACAGGTACTTAATTATGATGGGGGAGAATTTCCATACCCCCAACACCTACTTATGAAAGTACTTAATTGCCTTTCACCAAGACCGCTGGAGTTGGATTCCCTGATCGGGTATTCTTGTTTCCTCCCATATTAAGACCCTCTATGTATGTTTTAGGGGGGCATCAAGAATAATGGATGTCAGTTGGAAAACTTGTTACATAATTGTAAAATAAATACAATTTTTATATTTCTTATACATGTACTTGAAAATTAAAGTGTATGTAGCAATAACAATTTTATAGCAGAAATAACCCGATTTATTGATATTTGTTATGAGTTTGAAACATACTGATCAGTGTTGCTTTGTTTTACTTTCAGAAAGCAAGGGGAAGAAGAAAAAGGGCAGAAGCGGCAGCCAAAATCCATATGACCGCCTCCTAGTCTCCGAGCTTTTGGCACAGAGAGAAAAGTTAAAAAACTCTGCCCTTCAGGCTGCTAACAGGGAGAAAATAACCAGTCCCAACACCTCAGAAGCCCTTACAGCTGGACTTGGCCAGGGAGGAATGAGCGGGAGCAGACAGGTCTCCGGGGATCCCTTTACTGAACATCTGCCAAACTGCAAACAGGACAGTAAATCGCCAGGCGCTCTGAGTGATGGGTCATATGTCAAATCAGGGTCAGCCAGCAGTGATCCCAGCGATGACCTGGGACCTATCAGTTCTAGCAAGGTTGTAAAGCTGGACTTCAGTCATGGCCGTGCCAGTCAAGAGGACTGTAGCATCCCTCCTGGGTCGAGCATACCCAGTGATAATAGCCCTGGACAGACTAGCCACTTTCTTCAGCATCAGAACCAGCTAACGGTACAGACAGTGTTCTCTCAGGAACATCTCAAAGAGCAAGTTTTCATTCAGCAATCTCCGACAAATCCACTACGTAACTCGCCTGGCTATGGATTCATTCCCCCAAACCATACACTCCCCTGTGGCAACTTTGGTTCTAACATCCCATGTGGAAGCTCCCCAGTGAATGTTCCCCAGAATATGGGTGTGGTTGTTCAAGGTGTTCATCAGGGCAACTTTCCAGTGTACCAGCTCCAGAATGCATCTAACAGATTCATGAATCCACAGCTGGATCAGAACCATATAATGGCTGGAACACCATATCACATGAATGCTATGCATGGAATGGGGTTTGGAGGACGGCCACCTTTTAGTGTGAGTCCACAACAGTCTATGTATCATCCGCCAAACCCAGTCTATCAGTCTGTCGACCCTTTATGGACAGAGAAAAAGAAAAGCAAACCCAAGAAATCAAAGGCAAAAAAGGAGAAGCAAAAAGTGAACAGTGTATTTGAAAGTGATACACCTCCCCCAAATGTTGATGTTAGTCAACTCCACGATCAGGGGAGAGGTCCGATTCCAAAAGTCAAATCTTCGTCATCTTTTCTAGAAAATCCCACAGCTTTTTTAGCCGAGCAGACTGCACTTATAAGTAATTCAATGACCTCTACTCTTTCTAGTCCTACCTGTTCTGCGGGCAACACATCTGAGAGCACTTCCACTTCTGTCAGTAAAGACGGAAAAAATGACACTGTTGACGGCGATGTTGTCATCAAGGCCAAATCTGTATCTCAGACATCCAGTAGTTCTGTGATGAACACTACCAGCATTTCACTTCCAAAGCCTATCTTTACCTCGACACAAGCATTAGCACCGGTGTGTGGGGGCACAGTGGTCATGTCCAAAGAATCCTCATCATTCATCAAACCTTCACAGCATCCATTAGAAAGTGCAGGCATATTCCTGAAATTACCCAGCACAATATCTGAATCTCATATACAACTGCCCGACACCAATCAGGACATGTTTACCAAGGACCGTTGTGAGTCACTGTCGCCTGACTCGGGCAGTGAAAGTTTGGTGTTTACAGAGACAATCACACCAAGTTCTGTGGTACACCACACTCCGTCAAACACTGAGGAGGACGGTGGAAGTAAGAATGACTCACAAACTAAAGATAAGAATTTCCCAACTGACAAAACTGTGGTGACAACACAAGTATTAAATGTGACTGGACATAATGTGTCAATGCCATGTAAAACTGTGAATGACGACCACACTCGAGAGAAATCATCACCACTGGACACTAGCGGGCCAAGATTTAACAGGAATGCTGGCGGCACAAACCTGATACAACAGATGCTTGGACATCACAGCTCGACTGAATTCCCAGCCAGTAATCTGCTGTCGGCTGCTGCCCGGGCACAAATGGTACAACAACAACACAGTCACATGAACATCATGATAAACCAACAACAACCTGTGCCCAATATTCAGATCAGCCAGTCGTTCCCAATGGCCATCAACCCTGGTTCCTCCCTGCCTGTGGGGGTGGACGGAAAGTTAGCACCAACCTCAACTGTTATCGGAGCTGGAGCTGACTGTGGGCCTATGATAGTCAATCAAAGTTTATCTGGTGGTCTAGGTGTTGTCACCAATCCTTCACACTCCGGTAGCATTGTGTCTGCATTACAGGGTCAGGCTTCAACAGATTGTTCTTCTTCCCTGCCTACCTCTTTTGGGAAAAGCTACACCGGAGAACAGGATTCTGAGACCTGTGGGCCAGGCACTGACACGATATCTAAGATTCTTGCACAGCCTGTAAATGGTATCAACACGACAGCATTACTAAAACAAGGCAATTTTGATGGCAATCTGATGAAACATCTTGGTAGTTTACCTGTGCAGTCTGTGATGGGTCCTGCCAGCATGAATACACTGGACCATGTCCAGACTAACAGTGTAAACACACCCATGCCACCAATATCCCTGCCGCTTGTTACTGCTGTGACCAACTCCCTAACACAAGTTATCCCAGCAATAGGCACCAATGGCTCTCAGAACCTCCTCAGTCAGCAAGCCATGATGAATCTCTTCAACAACCTGGGACTCAATACGATGCAGAATAGCTCGGCCAACAATCAGGGTGCCCAGATGGTGTTGACCGGTCAAGTCCTACCACAGGATAACATGTCATGTTTATCACTGGTAAACAGTGCAGTTGGACCGAATACCTATCTAAACGGCATCAACCAGTCCCAATTCCAGCGCTTCATTGGCTGTAACAACCTCGCACAAAATATTGACATGGGTAACATGGTCTCTGGCCAGCGTGACTTGATGGACCCAAACGTTCTCAACAAAGCTGGTCCAACAATGACCCAGTTGATACCATCAGACCACCAGGGAGGAGCCATGCAGATGAAATCAGCCATGGCAACACAGTCAGATGACCTACAAGATCAGGTCAACAAGATGCAGTTGCCATGTGAACAGGTGCTGCCCTCTGTGACTACCTCATCTGGTCAGATGGTGCTACTCCCAAATGTGCAGATGCCTCTGTTGCAGGTACTTAATGCCAACCAGATGTCAGCAGCCTCTAACCCTGCCATGCTGGACAAGACAGCTGGCTGTGGCATACAGCAGCAGCCCTACCCCATACAGAGCCAGGCTGACATCCAAGCCTTGATTGGTCAGCTGCAGGCTGGGCTTACCCAGGTGGGCACACCCCTGAACATGATGAATGTCCAACAAGTGTGGAACAACTTGACCACAGGCAGCAACCTGACTGCAATGCAACTGCAGACACTTCAGCTTCAGCAGCAGTTACTTCAGCAGATTCAGCAGCTACAGGGGATGCAGACGCTTATCAGTCAGTTTAACATGCAGAGTAACCCCGGCAACCCCCTCACTAGTATGGCCAACAAAACTGCCTCCACTACAGTCAGCAATGGCCTGGCAGCTGTTGCCATCACCACGGGAAATAGTACAGAAACTTGTCTCACCATGGACGGCAAAACCTTTCTCACACATCCGGTAACAGGAGAGAACATTGTTATGCCTCTGAGAACTGCCGCTGATATGAGTGCATCTGATTTAAAAGTGGACATTCCAACATCAACAGTTATAAGCAATATTGAAAACAGACCAGATTCTTTTGATTCTACGTTTGAAAGACATGATGGAAAAACCAATGAAAGTGATGACTGCAGGACTAACGTGAGCTCCTCTGTATTGGAAGGTTCAGCGAGTTCAGACACTTCATTGGATGTACAAGCCTCTGAAATGCTGAGTGCAACATCTAATACAGCATCATTCTGTGGTACTCTGCCCAACACAGCTCACCTGTCATCTAGTGTGAAATCCTCTGGTACCTTCCTGTCCTGCTCAAGCAGTCAGAGAAATACTACAGATGATACTCTCAATGGTACACAATGTTCGCTGGTCACCACTTCCTGTATCTCCGAACAAGACGTGTCTCCTCAAAGTAGCAATAATTCATCAGTTTCTGACGACTCCAATAAAGCAGAGGATGGCCATGAGAGATATGGGCACTGTGAACAAGACATCACAGATGGAAGTGTGTCACTATGTAAGCAATCTGCGTCCTTAACAACAGAGAGACAAATGTGTGTTGACCAGTGCTTTGACGGCGCCGCAGACCGGCATAATTCTGATTGTGCCGTGCCCAGATCATTATGCTCTGAATCAGAGATGCAAGAGACTTGCAACCGAGCCACCTCTTCATGCAATACCAGTTCTAAATGTGAAGGCATACCAAAACTGAAGTCTAAAAGCAATGCTAGCAAGGTTAAATGTGCAACTACTACTCACCGTGCATTTGATTGCAGTAGTGAACCATCTAGCAGAAACCAAACAAATTCCTCAAGTTTTAAAATCAGCGACGGCAACCAGCAAAGTCGACCTTGTCCTCAGTTAGGTGTAAGCACTGTGTCCTCAACAGTAGGTGCTGTCAACAAAGAAGACAAAATCCGCCAAAAATCTAGTCCAGAGCATGACCCAAGCATTGCAGAAAAACCAAAGGAGGCAAACCTTCCATCAGATGTTGTCACAGCGACCAAGTCTGACCTTGGACACAGGGTTGAGGTCAACTTCTTCCAAGCCAATCACCTAATGAACACTGTGGAACTCTCCAGTGAGCGTGCCCAGAAGGCAGCTGATGCTCTCACTCTCGTCAACAGGGTGGGCAAACGATCACGGGAGATTGACACGGATTCATTCGATGATGGTAAGCTACTTTCTGTTATACCGCGAAACAATCCAGAACAACCAAAATTTCACTTACATGATTCAGTTAATGTCCCGGTTACACTTCTACCATTAACAAGGGCCCACTGCAATGTCCCTGTTACACTTCTACCATTAACAAAGGCCCACTGCATTGTCCTGTTACACTTCTACCATTAACAAAGGCCCACTGCAATGTCCCTGTAACACTTCTACCATTAACAAAGGCCCACTGCAATGACCCGGTTACGCTTCTACCATTAGCAAAGGCCCACTGCAATGTCCCTGTTACACTCCTACCATTAACAAGGGCCCACTGCATTGTCCTGTTACACTTCTACCACTAACAAAGGCCCACTGCATTGTCCTGTTACACTTCTACCACTAACAAAGGCCCACTGCATTGTCCTGTTACACTTATACCATTAACAAAGGCCCACTGCATTGTCCTCTTACACTTCTACCATTAACAAAGGCCCACTGCATTGTCCTGATACCCTTCTACCATTAACAAAGGCCCACTGCAATGTCCCTGTTACACTCCTACCATTAACAAGGGCCCACTGCATTGTCCTGTTACACTTCTACCACTAACAAAGGCCCACTGCATTGTCCTGTTACACTTCTACCATTAACAAAGGACCACTGCAATGTCCCTGTTACACTTCTACCATTAACAAAGGCCCACTGCAATGTCCCTGTTACACTTCTACCATCCTGTTTCCTTTGTACAAATGTTGGCCAGGTTCCCAAGTATCTCAAAAGTCTTAAATGACCTTATTAACGTAAATAATCTTCAATTTCACTTTTATCCTCAGAAGTAATTCAGTAAAGACGTGGCTTTGCTTCTAAATATAAACTGATGAAAATTTTTTCTAATTAAAGTTTTAGAAAAATGATTAAGATTTGTGACTTTCAGGCCAGAATGTGTAAACCTAAATAATTTACATATCTATTAATATTCGCTGGAGTAATATTTGCAGTTCTATCATAACTGTGAAAACTTGTTAAAACATACGTTTGATGATATATATTACAATGTTCTATGCCCGTGCTATATAGTTGTTATGTGTAAGAACCTTGGGTTATCCAGAAGATATATATTACAATGTTCTATGTCCGTGATATATAGTTGTTATGTGTAAGAACCTTGGGTTATCCAGATGATATATATTTCAATGTTCTATGCCCGTGATATATAGTTGTTATGTGTAAGAACCTTGGGTTAACCAGAAGATATATATTACAATGTTCTATGCCCGTGATATATAGTTGTTATGTGTAAGAACCTTGGGTTATCCAGAAGACAGCTCGTCGTCGGAGATGTCACTGTCATCCTACCCTCACAACTTCACTGCTGGCGACCTGGTGTGGGGACAGATCAGGGGTTTCCCATCCTGGCCGGGCAAGGTTGTGGACGAGAGAGAGGTCAAGGAAGGGCATGCTCCTGATGCTGGCAAGGTATTCTTACACAAAATACACTTGATGCTGGCTAAGTACATGTACTAGTCTTACATATATTTCACTTGATACTGGCCAGGTATTCTTAGATAATCTACACTTGATGCTGGCCAGGTATTCTTAGATAATCTACACTTGATGCTGGCCAGGTATTCTTAAATAATCTACACTTGATGCTTGCAGGGTATCCTATTTAATGCTGGAAGATATTCTTATACAGTATACACTTAATGCTAGCTAAGTGTGCTTAAACAACGAACTTTCAATGTCAGTGTCTCAGAACTTGATTAAACAAAACAATTTAAATAGACATCCTAAAAATAAACTTTTACAAAAAGATGTTGGAAGGTCTTTGTGGTAAAATGCTCATGCAAGATGAAGAGTTGACCTTTGACCTAAAGTTGGATAAATTAATCTTTGACCTTTGTGTTTCAGTGCTGGGTACAATGGTTTGGTGACCACACGTTCACAGAGGTAGAACCAGACAAGCTGAAGAGTCTGTCTGAGGGGCTGGAGGCTCACCACCGCGCCAGGAAAAAGTATAGAAAGTGAGGCCATCTTTTACAGTTACGGTCAAAAGGTCATTTTAATGATACTAGATATGTGCTAAAAATGCTTAGTATCATTGAAGAATTTTGGGTCAAGATAGTTAAACTTAAAAAGAATTGTGGGTCGAATAAATTGCTTCAGTGATTTTGTTACAGAGTTCAAATGTCTTTTGAAAAGTTTGATTCAAATGATTCCAAAATATATACACGAATCGAGATTATAAAGTGGTGAATTTTAAATAATTAATTTGATACTGTTTTTCATTTGGATGCTTATTGAGGAACAATGGTGCGCAATGTCTTGACAAAAGAAAAGACTTTTCCGGGTTATGATTTGTCATTACAAATAACTTCACTTTTCTCTACTAGGGGAAGAAAAATGAACTCGAACCTGGAGGCGGCCATCCACGAGGCTATGACTGAACTGGACAGACAAGCCCAGGAAACGGAGAGTAAGATCCAGGCTAAAACGGCCATCCGGGGCAAGACTAACAAGAAACGCAAAGCTAGATGACCTGTTGCTTCTCTAGGATGAAAATTGGGTTATTTAATTACAGAGTTATTGTTTTGTTTGATAATATATCACTGCATTGAATTACTGGGAAAGACTGCTATAACAAAGTTGTTATAAGTGGCATTTTAAGACTGAATTTCTAGACACTTTCATTAAGGTGTTCCCAGAATGTAACTAGTTTACATATTTAATATGAATCGATTACACTGAAGGATGTTGAAGACGTTGCATTATGTGAATGAATTATGATATTTAGTATGATGCTTAGTTATTTGCTTGAAAGATGTAATATTGATCATGTACCGATAGAAACATGTTTAGTTTTGTGATAAGTCGAGATTGCAGTTGCGGGTTGATAGATTTTACTGCAAGTTTAATGATGAAATGTGGATGAAAAAACACGAACGTATGAACAACTTGATAAACATTTTCTTCTGTGTAATGATGGAGACATCTGAAAAATTGTGATATTTTTTGGTTGATTGTCCACCATAGGGTCACATGACACAGAAACTGAAGCAGTACTCCCTGGAACGGTGTTGGGGAAGATCTTCAGATGCAATACATTAACATAGGTTTGTCAATGTGGTACAGTGTTAAATGTTAACATCCTTTCATCATTTCTTTCTTAAGTTCTTAACAAGTTGAACGAAACAAAAACTGTGTTGTTAGCCTCAAACCCCCAGGCTATGATATTAAGTATTGCCTAGTTATGATAAAACATAAAATGTTTTTTCTTGGTTTGTTAGTAAAAATATATATACATATGATGTAATATATGTGATCAAATAATTTCAAATTTCTCACACTACTAAATCATACAAAAATCAGTAAAAAAAACCAATTTTGTCATGAATAGTGTGCTGGTAAGAAATCGGTAAACACACCACCACAAGTAAATGAGCACAACTAACAATATTGTGAGTGTACTCATAATGATGATAATTGAATTTTAAAGTGTTGTTAGATCTTGGTATCAGTGTGAGATCTTGCGCATTCCAAACAGGAGATTGATTTTCTTACACGACAGAGTCTCGTCTGCAGACTCCAGTAGCATGCATGGTGAAAAGGACTGGTCAATTCCACTTGTGATGTGGGTTTGTAGTCAATTCCACTTGTGATGTGGGTTTGTAGTCAATTCCACTTGTGATGTGGGTTTGTAGTCAATTCCACTTGTGATGTGGGTTTGTAGTCAATTCCACTTGTGATGTGGGTTTGTAGTCAATTCCACTTGTGATGTGGGTTTGTAGTCAATTCCACTTGTGATGTGGGTTTGTAGTCAATTCCACTTGTGATGTGGGTTTGTAGTCAATTCCACTTGTGATGTGGGTTTGTAGTCAATTCCACTTGTGATGTGGGTTTGTAGTCAATTCCACTTGTGATGTGGGTTTGTAGTCAATTCCACTTGTGATGTGGGTTTGTAGTCAATTCCACTTGTGATGTGGGTTTGTAGTCAATTCCACTTGTGATGTGGGTTTGTAGTCAATTCCACTTGTGATGTGGGTTTGTAGTCAATTCCACTTGTGATGTGGGTTTGTAGTCAATTCCACTTGTGATGTGGGTTTGTAGTCAATTCCACTTGTGATGTGGGTTTGTAGTCAATTCCACTTGTGATGTGGGTTTGTAGTCAATTCCACTTGTGATGTGGGTTTGTAGTCAATTCCACTTGTGATGTGGGTTTGTAGTCAATTCCACTTGTGATGTGGGTTTGTAGTCAATTCCACTTGTGATGTGGGTTTGTAGTCAATTCCACTTGTGATGTGGGTTTGTAGTCAATTCCACTTGTGATGTGGGTTTGTAGTCAATTCCACTTGTGATGTGGGTTTGTAGTCAATTCCACTTGTGATGTGGGTTTGTAGTCAATTCCACTTGTGATGTGGGTTTGTAGTCAATTCCACTTGTGATGTGGGTTTGTAGTCAATTCCACTTGTGATGTGGGTTTGTAGTCAATTCCACTTGTGATGTGGGTTTGTAGTCAATTCCACTTGTGATGTGGGTTTGTAGTCAATTCCACTTGTGATGTGGGTTTGTAGTCAATTCCACTTGTGATGTGGGTTTGTAGTCAATTCCACTTGTGATGTGGGTTTGTAGTCAATTCCACTTGTGATGTGGGTTTGTAGTCAATTCCACTTGTGATGTGGGTTTGTAGTCAATTCCACTTGTGATGTGGGTTTGTAGTCAATTCCACTTGTGATGTGGGTTTGTAGTCAATTCCACTTGTGATGTGGGTTTGTAGTCAATTCCACTTGTGATGTGGGTTTGTAGTCAATTCCACTTGTGATGTGGGTTTGTAGTCAATTCCACTTGTGATGTGGGTTTGTAGTCAATTCCACTTGTGATGTGGGTTTGTAGTCAATTCCACTTGTGATGTGGGTTTGTAGTCAGTTCCACTTGTGATGTGGGTTTGTAGTCAGTTCCACTTGTGATGTGGGTTTGTAGTCAGTTCCACTTGTGATGTGGGTTTGTAGTCAGTTCCACTTGTGATGTGGGTTTGTAGTCAGTTCCACTTGTGATGTGGGTTTGTAGTCAGTTCCACTTGTGATGTGGGTTTGTAGTCAGTTCCACTTGTGATGTGGGTTTGTAGTTTGGGAATCAATCCAGGAACAATCTCACAAGGCAAACCTCATTTTACTATTGTCACCAAGTTGTTACAGGAAAACTTTAGACACACCTTACCTAGATCACTTTTATATTTGTTGTGTATTAACTACTGCTTTAAAAAAAAGGTTATTTTAATATGACGCTCCTTATACATGTATACACAATCTTCCTCATTTAGAGTCTTTGTTTTGGCTTAGTTTTACTATTAATTGACAGAGAAATTCTTGCAAATGCAGATAATTCGGTGAGAATGATAAAAAGAGGTATGACTTGAGAAACTGTTGATATTTTTATGAGTAAAAGTTGAAAGTCGGGCTGGACTAGACAATAAGGGTAGCGCAAGAGTCAGAGGCTAGTGAAATATCCAGCTGGACTAGACAATAAGGGTAGCCCAAGAGTCTGAGGCTAGTGAAATATCCAGCTAGACTAGACAATAAGGGTAGCCTGATAGTCTGAGGCTAGTGAAATCTCCAGCTAGACTAGACAATAAGGGTAGCCCAAGAGTCTGAGGCTAGTGAAATCCCCAAGCTGGACTAGACAATAAGGGTAGCCCGATAGTCTGAGACTAGTGAAATCTCCAGCTAGACTAGACAGTAAGGGTAGCCCGATAGTCTGAGGCTAGTGAAATAAGGACTAGCTAGACTAGACAATAAGGTTAGCCCAAGAGTCTGAGGCTAGTGAAATCCCCTAGCTGGACTAGACAATAAGGGTAGCCCAAGAGTCTGAGACTAGTGAAATCTCCAGCTAGACTAGACAATAAGGGTAGCTTGATAGTCTGAGGCTTGTGAAATATCCAGCTGGACTAGACAATAAGGGTAGCCCGATAGTCTGAGGCTAGTGAAATCTCCAGCTGGACTAGACAATAAGGTAAGCCCGATAGTCTGAGGCTAGTGAAATAAGGACTAGCTAGACTAGACAATAAGGGTAGCCCGATAGTCTGAGACTAGTGAAATCTCCAGCTGGACTAGACAATAAGGGTAGCCCAAGAGTCTGAGGCTTGTGAAATATCCAGCTGGACTAGACAATAAGGGTAGCCCGATAGTCTGAGGCTTGTGAAATCTCCAGCTGGACTAGACAATAAGGGTAGCCCAAGAGTCTGAGGCTTGTGAAATATCCAGCTGGACTAGACAATAAGGGTAGCTTGATAGTCTGAGGCTTGTGAAATATCCAGCTGGACTAGACAATAAGGGTAGCTTGATAGTCTGAGGCTTGTGAAATATCCAGCTGGACTAGACAATAAGGGTAGCTTGATAGTCTGAGGCTTGTGAAATCTCCAGCTGGACTAGACAATAAGGGTAGCTTGATAGTCTGAGGCTTGTGAAATCTCCAGCTGGACTAGACAATAAGGGTAGCCCAATAGTCTGAGGCTAGTGACACAGGGCTAGGCAATAAGGGTAGCCCGATAGTCTGAGGCTAGTGACACAGGACTAGACAATAAGGGTAGCCCGATAGTCTGAGGCTAGTGACACAGGACTAGACAATAAGGGTAGCCCGATAGTCTGAGGCTAGTGACACAGGACTAGACAATAAGGGTAGCCCGATAGTCTGAGGCTAGTGACACAGGACTAGACAATAAGGGTAGCCCGATAGTCTGAGGCTAGTGACACAGGACTAGACAATAAGGGTAGCCCGATAGACTGAGGCTAGTGACACAGGACTAGACAATAAGGGTAGCCCGATAGTCTGAGGCTAGTGACACAGGACTAGACAATAAGGGTAGCCCGATAGAGTCTGAGACTAGTGACACAGGACTAGACAATAAGGGTAGCCCGATAGTCTGAGACTAGTGACACAGGACTAGACAATAAGGGTAGCCCGATAGTCTGAGGCTAGTGACACAGGACTAGACAATAAGGGTAGCCCGATAGTCTGAGGCTAGTGACACAGGACTAGACAATAAGGGTAGCCCGATAGAGTCTGAGACTAGTGACACAGGACTAGACAATAAGGGTAGCCCAAGAGTCTTGAGACTAGTGAAATCTCCAGCTAGACTAGACAGTAAGGGTAGCCCAAGAGTCTGAGACTAGTGACACAGGACTAGACAATAAGGGTAGCCCAAGAGTCTGAGGCTAGTGAAATCTCCAGCTGGACTAGACAATAAGGGTAGCCGAATAGTCTGAGGCTAGTGAAATATCCAGCTAGACTAGACAATAAGGGTAGCCCGATAGTCTGAGACTAGTGACACAGGACTAGACAATAAGGGTAGCCCAAGAGTCTGAGACTAGTGAAATCTCCAGCTGGACTAGTGGTGTTGAAAACCACTAGCTCGATTCACTAGTCACAATTTGATATTACTTATCATGTTGAATAATATTGGGTTTGTGAAATTTGCACATAAACTAGTAAAACTTGGAAACTACTAACCCAATTGACTAGTGGTATTCAAAATTAATTTCTAGCCCCAAGTCGGTCCATGAAACAGGTGGGATAGACCACTGTATTGTTCTTTGATTGATAGCATGTATAATTCATGGGCAAGTGTGCTTATCTTGTGCTGTAATGCGGTGTCCATCGTCTGTCAAGTGCCAACTTCTTGATAATCAACTAGCCTGTAGCATGCTGGGATAAAGCACCGTCCATTTAATTCAAAACAAGTAAACTTGACCAACTTTCTTGGTCACAAGGGTTGAAAAACCATTGATAAAGTCCTCAAGGCCTAAAGTATAAACATTTGTCTATTTGCCTGTTAGGATGCACTAGCAATAAACTACCTTGAACAACCTGGAAAGATTCTTGATCAAACCAAGCTAAAAGCTTTCATCAAGATTCAGATGGATAAAGTGTTGATAGTCTGTTAGTAGCTTCCATGCTTTCAAATTCATTTAAATCAATTAAATCTAACCAACTTTAAATATCACAGATGTGAGATGGATTTGCAAATGACATCGAATAGCAGGTGTGCACTACAGCCTTACAGGCCTATTGGGAGGAAAATGTAGAATTTGCAAAAGAAATGAGGGAAATAATATCACTAAATGAGGAGAAAATTTGAATTTCGTACAGATGATCTTGGTAAACTCTGTTCTTTTTTAGCGATAGTATTTTTTAAAAGCTGGAACCTTAAAAGCATTTAATTGCTCCGAGCAATGTATAGCTTGCAGCATTTACTTCAAATAATTTTTAAATCGTTTTAAGACAATATATTTACAATTGATTTTGTTATATGGGCTTCTGTCATTTTATTTATGCTGAGGTGAGGGGATTGAAGGAAATACAATCATACAAGAAATATATTACATGGAATTTCATAACTGTGCAAACTATGAAATGTATCGAGTCATTGACATCCTGCTTGCTTCATTCACCTGTGGCTAACGACAAAAGGAGACTTACTTTACTTACCATTTATGTGTCAGATTTCAGGTATAAAAACATCCAATATATACACCTAGTGCTGTGTGCTACTCATTACACCAACGTATTTTATGTTTCTTTACTTTCAATATGTTTAGTGTTTTAGAGATTATTCATTTTATAATGCTTCTGTAGTCAGTTAGTGCTATTAGCTTATAAACCTTTGAAAGGAATGTACTTTTTTATCTGTTAATGTAAAAAAGGTTGATTTAATATTTTCTAGCTCCAAGCACAAAAGTGTACTTTACGCTTTGTTAAATGAACGTTTTCTTGATATTTTTATTGGCCAAACAAAATTGACTTATGAATAATTTCATCATTGTCCTTCTGCCAATTTGTCCTTCTGGTTGGTTAACAGTAATTTTAATGAAATTGTTGAATTTGGCAGTTTCCACCTACCATATGAAATAAAAATATTACCTTCACAAAAAAAGCCTTTTTACAATACACTGAATTAATAACTTAATATCATATACAATATTTTCATATGTATTGCTAAACCTCATCTAAAGGCAGTTTCCTGCTTCGTTTAGTTTTGTTATCTGTGGTTTTGATGTATTTTTATTGTTACGACTTAAAGATGATTAAATAATAAAGAGAGCACAGTGTATTTGGAAATTTTCCTGTTTGGTTAAATTGTCTTAAACAATCTGGCACTAATCTTTTAAATTTTATTTTTGTTCTGAAAAATTACCATAATATTGTGTATATGTCAAATGCAAATGTTGTTAAAATATTGGTGAAAATAAGTGGGAAACCATCTTTAAGAGTTTCTTTTTCAACTTACAAAATGTGGTTAATTTTGTAGATTGTCTTGTTAAATTGTTTGGTAGAACCATATTTTTTTTAACATTTCAAAAGAAAAATGATTATCTTGTAAGATAATCTAAATAAAATCCATACTACTATGAGAAACAGTTGTTCACTTATGAAATAAGAATCAGATTTTGTTTATTGTCTTAATGTATTGACAGAAGTGCTCCTTTACATTGACCTTTTTACTACAGAATGTTGCTTCTTTAGATTAATGATATCGTCTGTATACTGAGTTAGTTAATCTTCCACATGCACAACACCTAAGGGAAGAGTTTTAGTGTAGACTGTTTGTTAATATAACACCGTTTTCAATGAAGACACGTGCCATAATATCTTCCTCTATATATTATATGTATATATTGTGATTTCCTCAAACTAGTGCAATTTGCTATAATACAGCTATAGTAGATGATAGCCAAAATTAATGTTAAGGATCTGACTATTTTATTGTCATGTTCAGAACCACTTTGTTGGACATTTTTATAGATGCATGATTGCGTAGATTCAATCGTGGATTTAGTAAAATTTTGTTGATATTGATAAAAATGAATATTTTGTTTAAATATTTTTGTTCCGGGGTTTTAGAACATGTAATGATACAAAAAACATTTTGTTTGTTCTAGAGCTTTAGAACATGTAATGATACAAAAAACATTTTGTTTGTTCTAGAGCTTTAGAACATGAATTGATAAAAATTAAAGAAAACAAATGTTTTTTTTGTTTTTTTTTGTTCTAGAGCCTTAGAAAAGACCAAAAATTGAAAAAAATTATTTAAGATATTTTTGTTCTAGGGCTTTGGAATGTGGCTATAGCATTGTATGTACTCCTGTTGGTTTGAGTACTGTGTTAATTGTATGGAGAGGTGTCCATGCGGTCACCGCGCGGAGTTGTTACTGTTGTATATAGTGTACATGATACATCATCTAATGTATGTAATCTGTGTGCTCACTTATAATGAAGGAATTACACATTATATGTATATAAAACTATATGAAAGACTTGTAGACCTGTGTATATATATATAGTTATGGGATGAATGAGATTGCCTCGGGCAGGCGAGTGTTCCACTGTCTTGTTACTTTATTTCTGGTGATGTTAATGGGTACTTATAAAGTACAGCGGAAGATGAGGAAGACCTTGCAATATTTGCAGTGCTGCGTTTAAATTATTTTGTTATTGTTATGTGAAAGTTGTGATACACATTATATAGGTATGCAGAGGACCATATCTTCTGACTCCTCTCCAAGGTGACATGTGGCCATTAAAACTTCCATACCCACTGATTTGACTGTTTCAACAGGTAACATAAAACGGTGATCATCAACATGTTAGTTTTATTTGTCTGTAGAATTGTATTTACCTTGCATTTATTTTTTTGCTTGGCATATTTTGCCGTTAATTCTTTTTACATGAAAGTTGAGACTGTACTAAGCTTATTAAAAAATATAAAACCACTAAAGAAATGGCTCTTTGAGAAAAGATATGTTGATGAAAAGCATTTTTTGTGTAATTTTATCATTCTATATTTCTGTTGTTTATGTCCAATATCAATATATATTGTTCTAAGGAAACCCTAAACATTGGGAGTATACTACACAATGTGCACTGGAGTTGTGCATAATGTTATAAAATTATCAAAAGCTTGTGTGTCTCCTTGTTATTCTTTAACAATACAGTTTAATCATGTCTAGATGATGTCGGATTCCGATCAAGTGTCGCCCAGATGACGCATACCAATGTAACCTAGACAACCAAATATGAACTTGGTGAGATTGCAGTGTGACCTTGAAAGATGCAAATGTGACATTGATGAATTACAATGTGACCTTGATAGGATACCTGTGTGACTGATGAATTACTTATGTTACTTTAATGAGATTCAAGTGTGACCTTGAGTTACCATTGTGACCTCAATGAGATACCAATATGACCTTCAGATTCCAATGTGACCGTGATGAGTTACCAATGTAACCTTGAGATACCAATGTGACTTATAAATATGAGATACATATGTGACCTCAATTAGATTCCAATGTGACCTCAATGAGATTTCAATGCAACATTAATGAGTTACCAATGTTACCTTGACGAGATTCTGGTGTGACCTTGAAATTCCAATGACTTTGATAAAATCACTATGACCTGATCTTGACCTCATGTACATTACATGGAGAAAATTCCTGAAATAAAAATATATGTTTCAGGTTACTTGACCCATTGTTCCTATTTCTATCATCTCTGAATTATTATTTGAGCAATAAAAATAATTGTTTTACCTACCGGCCTTTGAGTACGAAAGCCTATTGTGCTCTTTTTCGTACGAGACAAAAACTAACCCGAAACTAATGTGTAATAACGCGAAGGTTTCTATATAAACAAGTTGCTAATGCGACTTTTTAACACACTAGAAATGAAGTAACAAAAATTAGTTCGGTTTTATTTTGAACTTGGCCTATCCCAAGCTGAAATCTTATTTTTTTAGCAATAGTAGATAAAATCATCACAAGTAATATAAGTCGACATTAAAGAGAATATTGAAACGATTCTGTTTAACGAGGAGGAAATATTATTCGGATTTATGTTCATTCTTACTTCTGGACAACTTCATGGTTTTAGATGCGTAACAGAAACGTACAGCCTGGTTTTACTGTTCCCCACGACACCGGTGTATCATCTATCAAATTCTAGATCCGGGCGGGGTTTTCAGGCGGAAACGGAAACGACTACATGGACGGTAATAGGTTTGTAATCGTCCTGATTACGGAGGCTATGTTGGTTTTCCTATCAGCTATTCCTGTTCAACCCAATAAAACTTTATATTTTTGTGTTCATCATAGAAAAACTAGTGAAACAAGATGTCACACTCGAAAAAATATTAATATTAAGAAAAAAAAACACAACAAGGGGATTCCCTGAGAAGTCGTCCGGTCGTTATCACACCCGTGTGTCCGTGGTGATACAAACATTTTTATCACACAGTTTGAATTGACCATTTATCAGTTTGGTAGGATTGAATAGGTATGTAATAAGAACATAATTCTAGTTCTTTGTTTTACTATATATACATATTTGACCTTTTTATTGAAAACCTGGCTGTAAAATGACGAAAACCGATAAAAACGTAATTTTATCGTGAAAATTGGGACGTTATTTTGGCTAACTGGCAAGTGTTATTTTACTTGGTTGCAGTGAACAAGCCATCTTAATTTATATCATCAAAACGATTGGGTCCCTCCAACTATACGTATGCGATTCAAACTTCTTGTTGGTCGAAATGAAATCAAACTTGTTTCGGACCGATTATAATTAAAACTCTACTTAATTCACAGGAGGTTAATTTTGTTTATCAAAAAGGGAACTAAAATTCCTTGTGTAAAAAGCAAACAGACATTTATCTTTTCTCTCATCTCTCATCATTTAGTCCGTGACTTCTTCGGATGAAACATCCTCAGGGGATACCCAAAATATCTTCTTCATCCATGGTTCAACTGATCGATACTATGCAAACGTAAAACCGCCTTTTTACAACAATTTTCGCGTTATTTATGACGCGTTAGTTTCGCGTTATTTCGCGAAAGTTTTGCGTTATTATGCGTTAGTTTCGCGTTATTACGCGATGGAAAAGGGTTTTTTTCTCCTACGAAAATGAGCTCGGTAGCCTTTCGTATTGGAGAGATAAAACCTTAAACACAGATTTTATCGCACAAAATTGATAAAAATTATCCAAAAAACAGCCAGTTTTAAGGACACGATTTAGATGGAACATTATTTGTTCCTAGACCAAAATGTCAGTCTTTGAAAGCTGTTAAAAGATATCGCGAAGCTTAAGATTTTTTTGTAATATTAACGCCGATGAATATCTATAAAAAAACCTTTAGAGACTGAAATCTTGGCTAGGATTCAACCAGGTAAATTTAAGTACCATAGCATCTGATGAAAAAATCTGTCTCTGTTGATCCTTAAATTTAAATATACAAAAAAGAACTGTAACTGGTTTACAGTTATATAAATATGCTTGTAGTGTGTTATAATAGATTTGGGGATTTATACTATCTGGTTATTCCTAAATGTAAGTTGCAGATATGAACGATATCGTCTAATTTGTTTTAAGATAGAAGTCTTAAAGCTCAAAATCATCGCCACTGGGTAAATTTGAAGGTGAAAAATATTTTAATGTGTGATTTTTTTTTTAGTTCAAATGAAATTATATACAGACAGAGACTTGGCTGCAGTCGCCCATATAAGTGGTATCGGCTTTCGTTTATGTATAAACTTCGTTTTTTCTAGACGGTCAATTTTAAATATGTTCAGAGATTTATATTCTACAATAGTTTTGTGTTGCGCTTGTTTGATTCAGCTTCGTGAAATAACTACAACATTGCTAAATTCATCTGAGAATATACCGTGATTTTAGAATTATGAGAAGTCACCCCTGGCAGCCATTACATTATAATACAGAGAAAAAATAGGCAATGTTTTCGTTTAAACTCCGTTTTTTCTAGATGGTCAATTTTAAATCGGTTCAGTGATTTAAATTCTACAATATTTTATTATCTTTCTTCTGATATATTGACTTCATAAAATACTTTGAATAATAATTGACAAACCGTACTAAAGTTTTAAGAGAAATGGACGTTAGATACAGATATCTTAATTATTTCAGTCAATCTATATATGTTGCAAAAGAAGAAAGAAAAAGAAATAACAGGAATGTTGTGTGTGTGTGTGGGGGGGGGGGACCTGGTAGCAGGCGATCCTTTTTTACCCATTTTTTGCCGCTAATCGAGTCAATTCAGCATCACTAATTTTGTGTTAGTTCCATTTAACAACTTGTATCAGCAACCATCTAGTAATCTCCAGGTAAAAAGGGTTAGCCACCTACATGGGAAGCGCACGGATAAGTAAGCGTTCCGTTGATCTGCCAAGAGAAGCGCGTGTTTGACGCCGAGCTTGAAAGTGAAACTAGACCCTACACTGTGGCGATCAGACTTCTTATACATATTCTATTCTGTAGTTGAAATGGCGTTAGCATGTCAGAGGAACAGTTACCTGAGAGAGGTAAACTATGTTCATTCAACTTGTATGTTAAGATATCATATAATGCATCGGTGCCAACAGGATCCGAGAATCATGACGCAATCACAGGGATCAGGAACCGTTGTTGAAACATAAGCTTAGGGATGTAGTGTGTTGTAATATATTTGGAGATTTATTCTTTCAGCACAAATATAATCTGGGTTATTTTAAATGTAAGTTGCAGATATTGACGACATATCGTCCTAAATATGACCAGTCAACTTCTACATTTACAAAAGATTATGTCAAGACTTGTATCATGTATGACGCAATCACCAATCATCTTTATTAAAAATCGCTATTTATATGGTTATTATAAACAACTTTTGGTTGAACAGTTTTCGGTTTTGAAAGTATTTCACGACCTTTGAAGCCTTATAAAAGTTGAGACATCTAAAATCACGAAAATCTCAAAACACGAAAAACGTTCAACCAAAAGTTGTTATAATAACCATATAAATAGCGATTTTTAATAAAAAATCCTCTATACATTCACGAGCTAACAACTGTGTGTTCGGCCCCTGTGATCAGAATATGCCTAATAGGCGATTCAATGATTTTTTTAATGCACTTGACTTGGTGAATAAATATTTAATGAAATTTTACAAGCCATAAAGTATACGTGTAACTATTTTAAAGTGAGCGGAACAGGATTTGGTCAGTCTTAATCTCTGAATGGTTCCTGGTTTGAATCCTTGTCTGGTCATGCATTTTTCTTTCTCAAATGTGGTGCCCGTGACCAACATTATTTCAAGTACTCTGTGAATGCTTGGCAAGGGGAAACCTGTACCTGGGTTGTAAATAGTAATTATTATTAATGTCTTTGTGGATAAAAAGGATGGGGGAATGTAGCGGAACTGGTCTGGTTCAATCACCAGGTAGCTTAAAAGGATTTGGCTAGAGTTTGAAGGTGCCAGGTTTGAATCCCATTCTCGCCGTGCAGTTCTCTCGTCAGTTACACTGAATGTGACTTCTCTCTTCTTTTATAATTATTAATTAGTTTGGCTTGAGGGAATTTCCCTTTAACTCAGTGGTAGAACATCCAATTAGAGAGTCTTGGTTCACTGGTTCAATCCTCAGCATCAGCATTATTTTACTACTTCCTTCCTGTTACCTGTAACAGAGGTAATTATTTATGTCAATGCCTCCGCTAGGAGTCGAAACTGGGACCTCTGGTTTACTAGGCTTACGCTCTACCAAATGAGCTACAGAGGAATTCCCTTTGCAAACATTAATTTTTACCACTGTGACAAACATAAGAATAAAGTTTTGCGAACCCAATTTTGAAGACTTTTTCTGTTTTATTTTGTTTACTGTGATTATTTTGTCTAAATGTTCATAAATTGAAATGCTCTGGAAAAATGAACAAAGTACAACAATTAGTTTGAATGCACCATTGTATACTGGAATATGTAGCAAGATTTTATGTATTATCTTTTAGTTAAAATCTAAGGTGAAAAGTTGTGTACCAGTGGAGACCACACTTGTAACAAATGGAAAAAAGGGCAAGGTCAAAGGTTACGAGGTCATCTTGGAAGATACAGTTCTATTTCCAGAAGGGGGTGGACAGGTATCAAATTTTTTTCTTCTACAAATACTGTCATTTGTCATTAATCCGATCCCCTTAAATCTAAATGACTTCAAATCAGGACACAAATAATAACACTTCTCAACCCAATTCACATTCCAGATCTAAAAGAGTTTTATTGAGACCAAATGGTCACATTACTCAAAAAACTAAAATAATTATAATCTGTTGTTAGCAAAAAGATTGGTCTCATTAATAATGCAAAAGCCAGACATATTTTATTTTTATAGAAAGTTTTGTTTTCAAAATATCTTAATTAATTAATGAGGTTTGACAAAGATATATTCCAAAATTTTACAACCTAGTTTTTCTTCATGGTAACAATCTTAGTAAATAAAAATTGTGTAATAAAACTTAATTCTTAAAAAATACATGCAAATTTAAGTCTGTTTGTTTATTTCAGTTTAGAACTTACTGCAAATTCAAATTTCAAGGTCGGAGCAATAAAATAAACTCACATCATTTAAGATATATATGTAAAAGATTGCAAAATGTTTAGCATTTGATGGAAAATTGAAATATGCTGATTATGACACACCTTTCCATTGACTATTGATATTGATATTGTTTTCCAATATTATTTCAGCCTGATGACAGAGGAACTGTAAGTATACTATGGATGGTCCGGTGGCTCAGTGGATAGAGCACTTGCCTTACACCAAGATGGCGAGGGTTTGATTCCCCGATCAGACATGTAAAGTTATGGGTCATCTGCCTGGCCACATTGGCTTTCTCAGGGCACTGCAGTTTCATTAAGATGTCCAGGGCATTGCAATTTATGCCAATAAGACTTATTAATTTAAGTTGATCAACTTGTGTCATAATTGTTGTATAATTAAGTTTCTATTTGAAACATTGGATGCTGTGGTGTTATCTTAAGAACAATATCAGGATTTTGTTTTCAGCGTTCTCATTTTATGAAAATATATATCCAGTAGTATTATGAATTTGTTTTGCTCTAATTATAAAGTAAAAAAGTATCCATATGTGATTAGAAATAATGGAATATTTTCAAAAATATTTACTAGGAAAGAAATTGTCTTTTTACAGCATTTATGTAATTTTGATTCTATAGTTTTCATGTTTTCATTGATTGGTAGATAAACGATATAGACGTCCTACGTATTACAAGGAAGGGAGCAGAGGCTGTGCACTTTGTCAGCACGGAGATCCCTGAAGCCACCGAGGTGGACATGAAGGTGGACTGGACACGTAGGTTTGACCACATGCAGCAACACACAGGTAAATACAACACACAGGTACATACAACACACAGGTACATACAACGAACAGGTAAATACAACACACAGGTTAATACAACGAACAGGTAAATACAACACACAGGTACATACAGCACACAGGTACATACAACACACAGGTAAATACAACACACAGGTAAATACAACACACAGGTACATACAACACACAGGTAAATACAACACACAGGTAAATACAACACACAGGTAAATACAACACACAGGTAAATACAACACACAGGTAAATACAACACACAGGTAAATACAACACACAGGTAAATACAACACACAGGTAAATACAACACACAGGTAAATACAACACACAGGTAAATACAACACACAGGTAAATACAACACACAGGTAAATACAACACACAGGTAAATACAACACACAGGTAAATACAACACACAGGTAAATACAACACACAGGTAAATACAACACACAGGTAAATACAACACACAGGTAAATACAACACACAGGTAAATACAACACACAGGTAAATACAACACACAGGTAAATACAACACACAGGTAAATACAACACATACAATACACAGTTAAATACAACACACAGGTAAATACAACACACAGGTACATACAACACATACAACACACAGTTAAATACAACACACAGGTAAATACAACACATAGGTACATACAACACACAAGTAAATACAACACACAGGTAAATACAACACACAGCTAAATACAACACACAGGTAAATACAAAACACAGGTACATAAAACACACAGGTAAATATAACACATAGGTAAATAGATCACACAAGTAAATACAACAGACATTAGACAGCAACAAACAGGTAACTACAACACACAGGTAACTACAACACACAGGTAAATACAACACACAAGTAAATATAACACACAGGTAAATACAACACACAGGTAAATACAACACACATTAGAGTCACACTTGTCTTAGTACGACTTTGTCTCAGGCAAGTAGGCCAACAGACATTTCAGTCATGCTTGTCTTGATATCACATTGTCTGATGTGAAGCGGACATTTACAGACACCTTGGTCAGGAGTCAAACCTGTCTTAATATATAAAACTTGTCAGATAAAAAACTTAACTACTGGTAGATAGATATTGGCACAATATGCAGTAGTTTCGATATCATTATTCTTTTTCCTCATGTTCATAAACGACAGCTTTCATGTAGGTTTGGTACACTTGACATAGGGAATGACAATCGGTACCAGGAACTCCTGGAGACTGAAGACTCCACCAGTTAACCACGTTCATACCTTAGCATACATATGCAGCTTAAAAATATTTCATCAGAATAAAACTCTCATATCTTAAATTCAATAATTTGATTCACAAAACAAAAGGTAATGGGGATTACCTTCCCTTACTAAATCAACAAAATCATACCGTTTCTCCCATAGTGTTTACCGGAGAAGCAGTCTAGTCTAGTGTCTTATCAATTTGTATATACAACTTTATATACAGTAATAATGTGAGAAAAAAATGCACTAGAATCTTTATAATCAATCGTTCTGCTGATAAACTGTCTTTGCAGGTCAGCATCTAATCACCGCTCTGGCAGAACAGATGTTTGGTTGTCCTACAACATCTTGGTAAGTTTTACTTAAACTTAAAACTTTCATACTGTCAAAATCAATTCACCGGCTTGATCATATCAGTACATGTAATATGACAAACAGATTCAAATAACAATAACAGGTCAAAGGTCAACCTGAGCTCATATGTTATCCTCATTTTGGAAACCAGAGGAAGTATTTTTATAAACAATAATTCTTAGTCCTTGTAGGATTATAATACAGCACCACCATTTATGTCTAGGTGACTATAGAACAGGAAGTGTTGATTACATGTAAACTTTATTGTACAGGTGTTTAGGAGAGAAGACTTCCTTTATAGAGCTAGATATCCCGACCCTGACCGAAGAGGATGTCGCCAAGCTGGAGGAATCGGTCAATGAGAACATCCTAGCAGGGATCCCTGTCACTCCTCATGTGTTTGAAGATAAAAATGATCCAAAGCTGAAAGAAGTAGGAAACATGCACAACAGAAATAGTCACAAGTCAGATGTTTACATCACAAATAGTCACATGTCATTTATTTACACCTGTCACTTATTAACACCACAAATGGTCAATTTTCATTTGTTTACTTCACAAATATTTAGTAATAACAAAACATCACAAGTGATACAAATCACAAATAGTCACAAGTCAGATGTTTACATCTCAAATAGTCACATGTCAGATGTTTACATCCCAAATAGTCACATGTCAGATGTTTACATCCCAAATAGTCACATGTCAGATGTTTACATCCCAAATAGTCACATGTCAGATGTTTACATCAAAAATAGTCACATGTCTGATGTTTCCATCACAAATAGTTACATGTCAGATGTTTCCATCACAAATAGTAACATGTCAGATGTTTCCATTACAAATAGTCACATGTCAGATGTTTACATCCCAAATAGTCACATGTCAGATGTTTACATCACGAATAGTCACATGTCAGATGTTTACATCACGAATAGTCACATGTCAGATGTTTACATCACGAATAGTCACATGTCAGATGTTTACATCACAGATAGTCACAAGTCAGATGTTTACATCACAAATAGTCACACGTCTGATGTTTCCATCACAAATAGTCACATTTCAGATGTTTCCATCACAAATAGTCACATGCCAGATGTTTACATCACAAATAGTCACAAGTCAGATGTTTACATCACAAATAGTCACAAGTCAGATGTTTACATCTCAAATAGTCACATGTCAGATGTTTACATCACAGATAGTCACAAGTCAGATGTTTACATCACAAATAGTCACAAGTCAGATGTTTACATCTCAAATAGTCACATGTCAGATGTTTACATCCCAAATAGTCACATGTCAGATGTTTACATCCCAAATAGTCACATGTCAGATGTTTACATCCCAAATAGTCACATGTCAGATGTTTACATCACGAATAGTCACATGTCAGATGTTTACATCACAGATAGTCACAAGTCAGATGTTTACATCACAAATAGTCACATGCCAGATGTTTACATCACAAATAGTCACAAGTCAGATGTTTACATCACAAATAGTCACAAGTCAGATGTTTACATCTCAAATAGTCACATGTCAGATGTTTACATCCCAAATAGTCACATGTCAGATGTTTACATCCCAAATAGTCACATGTCAGATGTTTACATCCCAAATAGTCACATGTCAGATGTTTACATCCCAAATAGTCACATGTCAGATGTTTACATCCCAAATAGTCACATGTCAGATGTTTACATCAAAAATAGTCACATGTCTGATGTTTCCATCACAAATTTTCACATGTCAGAAGTTTCCATTACAAATAGTCACATGTCTGATGTTTACATCACAAATAGTCACAAGTCAGATGTTTACATCACAAATAGTCACATGTCTGATGTTACATCACAAATAGTCACATGTCAGATGTTTACATCACAAATAGTCACATGTCATTTATTTACACCTGTCACTTATTAACACCACAAATGGTCAATTTTCATTTGTTTACTTCACAAATATTTAGTAATAACAAAACATCACAAGTGATACAAATCACAAATAGTCACAAGTCAGATGTTTACATCACAGTAAACGTGACCTGTAACCTGAAACGCGACCTTGTTCAAGGCATTGCCATATCAAACACTTGTATGAAGTTTCATGAAATTCCGTTGAGGAATGAAGTCATTAGAGCGATGACAAAGAGTGTAACATACATACAGGCTGAATCCTCTATCCCCTCGAACTTTCGTTGCGAGGGGTTAACAAGTCATTCGCCATGTGTAGTTCCTGAGATACATAACATTTCTTGTTTATGCGTGCTCAGTCTGTTAATTGTGGCCATGGCCTACATTGTATAAGTGACTAAGAAGTGTTTTTTACATATACTCAGAGACTACAGTAATTCTAAGGGACTTTTATAGTCTTGGGATGTGTGGGGAAGGGGGGGTGGCACTAATCACGTTTGTATCGCAATCACATACAGAGATGAGATCTGTTTTCTAACAGAGAAAGATACTACCGGTATATGCTCATACTGAAAGGAATGCCACAATTAGTAATTTGAGATGGCTTGATTGATGAGGCTAGTAAATATACCGTGAAGAGGTTAATGTCATTTTAAATTTTGATATTACAGTACCGATGTCGGGGACTACCCGAGGACCATGTTGGACCAGTGCGAGTATTAGACATTGAGGGGATTGATGGTGGCACCCTCTGTTGTGGAACTCATGTGTCCAATCTTTCACACCTACAGGTGAGTTAGGCTAAATAGAAATCTCTTACCCATACAAGTGATTTAGCCTTAGTATAAATCTCCCACATCTACAGGTGAGGTAGGCTTAATATAAATATCTCACATCTACAGGTGAGTCACATTAAGCATAAATATCTCAAATCTACAGGTGAGTCACATTAAGTATAAATCTCTCACATATACAGGTGAGGGAGGGTTAATATAAATCTCTCACATCTACAGAGGTGTCACATTAAGCATAAATCTCTCACATCTACAGGTGAGGCAGGCTTAATATAAATCTCTCACATCTACAGGTGTGTCAAATTAAGCATAAATCTCTCACATCTACAGGTGAGGTAGGCTTGATATAAATCTCTCACATCTACAGGTGAGGTAGGCTTGATATAAATCTCTCACATCTACAGGTGAGTCACGTTAATCATAAATATCTCACATCCACAGGTGAGTCACATTAAGCATAAATATCTCAAATCTACAGGTGAGTCACATTAAGTATAAATCTCTCACATATACAGGTGAGGGAGGGTTAATATAAATCTCTCACATCTACAGAGGTGTCACATTAAGCATAAATCTCTCACATCTACAGGTGAGGCAGGCTTAATATAAATCTCTCACATCTACAGAGGTGTCACATTAAGCATAAATCTCTCACATCTACAGGTGAGGCAGGCTTAATATAAATCTCTCACATCTACAGAGGTGTCACATTAAGCATAAATCTCTCACATCTACAGGTGAGGCAGGCTTAATATAAATCTCTCACATCTACAGGGGAGTCACATTAAGTATAAATCTCTCACATCTACAGGTGAGTCACATTAAGTATAAATCTCTCACATCTACAGGTGAGGTAGGCTTAATATAAATCTCTCACATCTACAGGTGAGTCACATTAAGCATAAATCTCTCACATCTACAGGTGAGTCACTTTAAGCATAAATATCTCACATCTACAGGTGAGTCACGTTAAGTATAAATCTCTCACATCTACAGGTGAGTCACGTTAAGTATAAATATCTCACATCTACAGGTGAGTCACGTTAAGTATAAATATCTCACATCTACAGGTGAGGTAGGCTTAATATAAATCTCTCACATCTACAGGTGAGTCACATTAAGCATAAATCTCTCACATCTACAGGTGAGTCACGTTAAGCATAAATATCTCACATCTTCAGGTGAGTTACGTTAAGCATAAATCTCTCACATCTACAGGTGAGTCACGTTAAGTATAAATCTCTCACATCTACAGGTGAGTCACTTTAAGCATAAATATCTCACATCTTCAGGTGAGTTACGTTAAGCATAAATCTCTCACATCTACAGGTGAGTCACGTTAAGTATAAATATCTCGCATCTACAGGTGAGTCACGTTAAGTATAAATCTCTCACATCTACAGGTGAGTCACGTTAATTATAAATATCTCACATCTACAGGTGAGTCACGTTAAGTATAAATATCTCACATCTACAGGTGAGTCATGTTAAGTATAAATATCTCACATCTACAGGTGAGTCACGTTAAGTATAAATCTCTCACATCTACAGGTGAGTCACATTAAGCATAAATATCTCACATTTACAGGTGAGTCAGGTTAAGTATAAATCTCTCACATCTACAGGTGAGTCACGTTAAGTATAAATCTCTCACATCTACAGGTGAGTCACCTTTAGTACAATCTCTCACACCTACAGGTGAGGTTGGTTAAATATAGATGTGTCCCTTTCAGTGTCATTCTGGATACTACAGGCCTGGGGTTTCGCTCACTTTTGCTATCTGTACCCCTGGAATGCGAAAAATAGAAGACTCGGTGGGCGCCACCTTGTGGATAACACGAGAAGACTAGTTTGATCCTTTAATGTACATCAAAAGAATCTGTTGGTTGTGTTACAGTAAAATTAACTAGCTTTGAAGTCGGGTGTCGCTCCTCTGTAATCGTTCAAAGACAGGTATCAGCCTAGTGATATTGGTCAGGTGTTTTACCAGAAACCATCAGCCTAGTGATATTGTTCAGGTGTTGTACCAGAAACCAACAAAATAACTAGTCACATGCTTTCAATTTTGCTATGACATATTCCAGGTTTTGCAGAGATCGAAAGTAAACATAACTCTTAGTGTGTCGAGGATGTTTAGCTGTATGATAGAAACATATTAGAGGGACATAATTAATGATTGGATAAACTAAGTAATGACATAGCTTAGTTGGTAGAACAATCACTAAGAACTTGGAGGGTTCCAGATCTCAATCCCAGACTGTAGTTTTATGATTGATTATCGGATAAGACCTGTTGACATCACTCAATGTTAATAAAACCTTGCATTTGTTCACAAAGTAATCAATTATATTTCCTCATTTCCCGGGATACCAGTGTAGATCTCTACTGACTTAATCTCATTATTCTTTGCTGCAGTTTCCAATATTAAACATGTACTGCCCATTATAATGTTAAATGTTTCTATAGTACATATATCTATCTACTTCTTCCATACTGATATGGTGTTTATGGTACCTTGTTCTTTGTTCTTCAATTGTTGGCCTATGTAGTTATATACACGTATAACACAAAACTCTTTTTTATACCTACAAGCAATATTGGCTGTCACAAAATTGAAAAACATCAATAAATATTTCATAAATTCAAGCTATTTAAGGTGTTTTTTTGTATTTTTGTAGCAACACAATATACTGTAATTCAATGTACATTTTTTTTCATTTCAGTTGATCAAATTTCTTTTTGCTGAAAAAGGGAAGAAAAACAAAACCAATTTGCACTTTGTGGCGGGATCAAGGCTCAGGAATTACATGACACGGAGTGTAAAGACAGAACGATCACTAACAGGGCTACTCAAGTATGACCATAAATACCTCAGTAACCTAACTCACAACTACCTTAAACCTTACAACGTACAGACAACGATCACTGATGGGGCTACTCAAGTATGACCATAAATACCTCAGTAACCTAACTCACAACTACCTTAAACCTTACAATGTACAGACAGAACGATCACTGACGGGGCTACTCAAGTATGACCATAAATACCTCAGCAACCTAACTCACAACTACCTTAAACCTTACAACATACAGACAGAACGATCATTGACGGGGCTACTCAAGTATGACCATAAATACCTCAGTAACCTAACTCACAACTACCTTAAACTTTACAATGTACGGACAGAACGATCACTAACAGGGCTACTCAAGTATGACCATAAATACCTAAGTAACCTAACTCACAACTACCTTAAACCTTACAATGTAAAGACAGAACGATCACTGACGGGGCTACTCAAGTATGACCATAAATACCTCAGTAACCCAACTCACAACTACCTTAAACCTTACAATGTAAAGACAGAACGATCACTGACGGGGCTACTCAAGTATGACCATAAATACCTAAGTAACCTAACTCACAACTACCTTAAACCTTACAATGAACAGACAGAACGATCACTAACAGGGTTACTCAAGTATGACCATAAATACCTCAGTAACCCAACTCACAACTACCTTAAACCTTACAATGTAAAGACAGAACGATCACTGACGGGGCTACTCAAGTATGACCATAAATACCTAAGTAACCTAACTCACAACTACCTTAAACCTTAAAATGTACAGACAAAACGATCACTAACAGGGCTACTCAAGTATGACCATAAATACCTCAGCAACCTAACTCACAACTACCTTAAACCTTACAATGTACAGACAGAACGATCACTAACAGGGTTACTCAAGTATGACCATAAATACCTCAGTAACCTAACTCACAGCTACCTTAAACCTTACAATGTATAGACAGAACGATCACATATAGGTTTACTCAAGGATGACCATAAATAAGTCATATGACCTATGACCTTTTTATGTTGGTTTTCGTACTTGCTAAAGCAATGAATGTTTTAGCAAATATTGTTATGGTCTTATAACACACATTGCTATTGATGACAAACTTATAAGAGCCTGGCAGGACTTTATGTAAGTTTGTCAGCAATAGATACGTGTTATAGGACCATAACAATATTTGCTTAAATACTCATTATTTATAATTACATTTTTTTCATTTTTTTTACGCTTTCGAAATTGATGACATCATAATAGAGATTGATGATGTTACAATAGCGAATGTTATAGTCTCATAACAACATTTGCGAATGTTATAGTCTCATAACAACATTTGCCTTCTCAATGCATTGCAATGGAAGGATGCAGAGCAAATGTAAATATAATGTCATGTTGTCTTGTTTCAGAGGTCCACTAGACCAACACTTTGAGTTAGCTGACAAGGCCGTGAAGGGATTTAAGACATGTCAAAAGGTAAGAGGTATAATAGGGTCTGAGGCTCGTGTCATATCAAATAATTGAACTCGTTTGATAAATTAAATATGACATGGACACGCATGTAAGATTCTATTTATCACAAAGCATTCATAATTTGAAGGAAAAAAAATGCAAACACAATTATGTGTTATCTGCTAACTCTAAAATCAAAACCAAAGTACTCCGATCATAGTATTGTCATTCCTCGCAGTGACAAAGTAGTGCCAGTTTATTATTTTTAATAATGAACAGTTTTAAATGCAATGAGAATAATAATGACAAAACAAACATTTCAAGTTCATTTAGAATAACTGTAAATGTATTTTGTGGTATAGTAAATAAAAGTAGTACCTGTAGTGGCGTAGGAATATGTTCTCACGGTTTTGACCAATCGCAGCACCTTTAGGTTTTATTACACATGTGTAATACCATATTTATGACGTGGCCGTATGACATAGTAAAATGGGTCAGTTATGTAATAAATATAATTTTACACTGACTCTACAGAACTTATAGATAGCGAAAATATTGTTTTAAGTTCTGAATTAAAGTTCCATAAAAATGTAAGATAACTATATTGAACTGAAATATTTCATTGTAGAATGTGTCCAACTTATTGAAAGATCTGGCAGTGTTGGAGGCACAAAAATACAAGTCTCAGACAGACCCAGATCCTCTGTTTGTGCTACACCGGTGAGTACTTACAAGCATCTGTCTGACCCAGTTCTTGTTGTGTGACATTGGTTAGTACTAACAAGCTACTCACTGACCCAGATCTCTTGTTTGTAATACATCGTTAACTGTCTGTTAGCTATAGGTACATCAAAAAATTTCAATCACTCTGATTGAAAAGGGCACCTGCACCATACACCAATCCTGCTGTCCTTTGTAAAAAAAAAAATCCTCCAAGAATCCTACCAACAGAATCAATCCTCAAAGATTATTTTGCATGCCATCTTAAAAGAAATTATCTGAAAAGTTTCGTTAGCATTTAAATCCTTTTAAAAGTGTTTTAGCATTAATTTACCTTAAAAAACTGTGTTTTCATTTTAAAGTGCTGCACAGTTTTCTATAGAGTTACATTGTGGAATTTGTATCTACCTCTGATGAGGTTTGTTTCGGAATATAATGGACATAGAAATGTAGAACTAACCAAGAACAGTAAACTTGTATTTACCTTCACAGGAAGGAAGGGGACATTGACTTCATGAACATCGTTGTACGAGAAATCAACGACAAGGTAAATTACCAAAAAACAGAAAACTGTTTTTAACAAGCCATTTCTTTTCTTTTTCAAATAAGAAGCTGGAATCTTCCTTTGCAAAACTTTAAAAAAAAAAATGCTAGACCAACTCAAGTTACTTGATGGTGATAAGGTACACGCAAAAATGACGTTATTATTACCCCCACCCCAGAGTGGTTAGGGTGGTATATAGTGTCCTCTTTGTTTGTCTGTCTGTCTGTCTGTCCATGCAAGTCTTGTCCAGACAAAACAATTGTGATCATTGAACATATTTAATCAAACTCCAAAGATATGAGTATTATAACACGACAGTACATTGTATATCCATATTTGCAAAATCTTTCTTACTTTGGAAGGAGACTCCTAAATTTTCTTTCTTCTATAAATATTTATATATCTATTCCATTAGTGATATCTAGCGTTTGTAATCAGTAAGTCGTCAGTAGCTAGTATCTGTGGACCCTCCATTCCAGGCGGTGAGCTGTCTGTTAACAGTCGGGGACGACATGAAAGGAGCAGGTCTGTTCCTCCTGTCAGGAAGGGAGGAAATCCTCAAGGATGTGGGACCAAGGTAATGTCATCTCTCTAACATAGGATTATAGGAATCCACAAATAAGGGATCAGGTCATAAACTAGTCAGCTGTTCCCATCCCATCCTTTCTTCCCCTTCCTTCCTCTTCCTCATTCTTTCCCACCACTCTCTCTTCTTTCACATTCCCAACTCCTCCCTCCCATCCTTTCCTCCCTTCCTTCCTCTTCCTCATTCTTTCCCACCACTCTCCCTTCTTTCATGTTCCCAACTCCTCCCTCCCATCCTTTCCTCCCTTCCATCCTCTCCCTCCATCCCAACTACCATCCTCTCCCTCGTTCTCTTCCACAACTCTCTTCTCTCATTATCACATCCTCAATCCTTCCCTCCCATCCTTTCTTCCCTTCCTTCCATCCTATTCCTCCTTTCCACCTCACATCCTCTACCTCATCCTCTTCCACAACCCTATTTATTCAGTCCTTCCTTCCATTGCCTTTCTGGTAGTTTTAGTAATCATTTCTTTCCCTCCTCCTCTCCATCACTCTTCGTTGTTTGTCCTCATACTATCCACCAGTGTTAGGATTAATACTAGTATTTCCAGTGATCCTGGCTCTCCCCCTTCCCTCCCTCCTCTCTTCTTTCTATTCGTGCCATATTCCATTATTAGATTTAAATATGTACCATAATTCTGGTGTAACACATATACAAATAAACATTTGTAAGTAACCCTAATGGACTTAGAAAATAGAGTTTTGTTGAACTTTTAACATCCCTTGTTTCTTTCCTCGAATACAAAGGAACACTCCCCAAATTTAGACTCTTCTAATTCTCTTCTTATATTGTTTTTTTCGATTTTTATACGCCCCTCAAATTTGACGGGAGTATTATGGTATGGGTTTGTCTGTCCATCCGTCCGGCGTAAACTTTTGATATAAAGTTGTGTCTCCCTTAAAAGAATTTTGATTCGACAATTTTTCCAAAAGTTATTGCCTTTTGTTCATTTCAGTATTTGATTTTTTGTCTGGCAATCTCCTCCTACATTTTTTGACAGATTTCTTTGAAACTTAGTATACATTATAATCATGATATGAAGTTGTGTTTCCTTGAAAAGAATTTTGATTCGACAAGTTTTGCAAAAGGAATTGCCCTTTGTTTATTTCAGTATTTGATTTTTGTCCGGCAATCTCCTCCTACATATTTCTACGGATCTCTTTGAAACTTGGTATACACTATAATCATGATATGAAGTTGTGTCTCCCTTAAAAGAATTTTGATTCGACGATTTTTGCAAAAGTTCTTGCCCTTTGTTCATTTCAGTATTTGATTTTTTGTCCAGAGATTTTCTCCTACATTTTTTATAGCACGTCAGCTAACCACTCTTAGAATGATGCAGATCTTATTTCGATGTAAGAAAGTATATAACACTATATGGCATTCGACGGGCGTGTTTTGTTCCGCCCTGCGGTACTCTTGTTGATGTTTGCCTTTGACCTTTCTATTTATAGGATTGCAGAGGTCATGGATGGCAAAGGGTCAACGAACCGTGGAAATTTTCAAGGAAAGGTTAATAAACTAGGTCAACGACACAAGGCAGAGAAACTTTTCCGAGAGTTTCTTCAACCAACTCCGCAGCAGACTGTTAACGAGAATTAATACTGACTTTAATAGTGTTGTGTGTGGTGTTTTAGTATCACTTCTAACCTGGACTTATTTACATCTCCACATATGATTGAATACATTGTTATCACTGAGAGTGAAAGCTCTTTATTTTCAACTTAAATGATTTTAATCATCTGTAGCCTTTACTTTTATTTTTCTATTATTCTTAGTGATCTGAATCTAAGAAAAATGCAGTTTCCTTGAAATGTTTTGGCCAGTCACAGGCTAGGGTGGCAATATTGATTTTCAATAAGCTTGACCTATAACATCATTTGAAGTGTGTCAACTGAATATGATCATTTGTAACAATTTGCAGTTTTCTCCCCAAAAATTGTTTGATGCGCTATGGTAACTTCCCTAGCCCAGCCCCCAATTGCGGCGAGGCGTGGCATAGCCGGCCATTTCAGCGACACGATCCATTGATCACGCGCTATGCAGTTAAAAAGCATAACATAAGAAGATATAGCAATGGACTGTTTTTATTAGTCCTCTACCGGTGAAACCGGGGGGACTCTAGGTTTTGTCTGCGTCCGTCTGTCCGTCCGTCCGTCGCCAAAATCTGCAGGTTAAGGTTTGGGTTAAAGTTTTGTAATGGCTTACCATTCGCTTAATAATGATGTTAGGATGCTGATATTCTTAGCATAGAGGTTCTTTAGGGGTCTAGCATTAATGCTGTGGATTGAAAATGGAAACTAATTTTATTTTTTGGGGGAATTTTTGACATGTTTTGGACTTAACTATCCTGGCCAAAATCTTTAGGTTTAAGTTTGGGGGCCGGTAGGGGACATGTATTGATTCATCAATACCCACAGAATGCTTGTTAAATAAATAACATAATAAAATACACATAACATTGCACACTCAATTACATTCCCTTTTCTGATTCTTAAACATATTATTATATAATACTGACATGCATATTTTACAGCAAATTTGAGCACTACAACAAGAAGTTCAACTACCTTATTCCAGAAACTTTTAAGATATAAATTTGGATTTTACTAAAAACACCTGATATGCAAACAGCACTACATCTTATCAAGACTCTCACTAAAACATTTAACTATAACACCCAATAAAAGATCCTTAAAAAGGAACAACACAGCACTACAAAATAGCAAAAGTATCATGATGATCTTAAGATTTTTTTTTTCTGATTAACATTCTAGAATCTTATGAAGAAACTTTCACACTTTACAAAATTAATTACTTTCTATCTTTAAGGAAGTCCACTGATTCATTCATTCAAAAAAAACAAATTCTAATCACATTGATATGACTGTTGTATCTGAAAAGCAGTCTGTCTAAAACACAGTTATCTGACCATCACACATCACTTGGGACTCACTTGAATTGTCCATGCTGTAAGGTAGCAGTGTACAGTAGTGTACGGTGGCCATGGGTGATATTTTTGTACAATGAAAAACCCCTGTAATATAACACGTATCAAAATAAAAAAATAAAAAATCAGCACTAAAATTGGCATATACATGATGAAGTGGACAATGAGGGCTTCACATTTTAAAAAAAAAATCAAATTTTGTTTGAGACTACATTTTTTGCCATTTACAAATCTGTGTCTACACAACAAAAGCTAGCTTTTCATGTAGTGAATTTTTGTACTCAGCACATGTGTAAATATTGTGAAAAATCCAGTTGAACGACCTATGCTAAAACGTGAGTATTTCTGTTACCTAGTAGGTGATATTTAATTTAAGACAGGTTTTAAGAAAATAAATACTGTTTGCTTGGGTCAAATTTTTATTTTTTTTATCATTTTTTGATGTGGTAACCATGGTTTTCACAAGTCCCAAATCTGGGGAAATCACTTTTTGGAGAAAATAAAATCTTCTAAAAAATCTGTATTCAAATTGTAGTTTATAAATGTATATATATATATAGTTGTGTTGGGCAGGATGAATCCGCTATCCATGTTTATCTGAGACATGCCCTTTTATTTTAGAATCAAGCCATTTCTACTGTACTCTACTAGTTAACACAAGTGCCCAATTCAAAGTCTGCAAGGGTTGGGCCTTCTGTTGAGATGGTCACCAAGAAGCTCAGTACTCCCTGACTAAGGCGATTTCTCGGAATTGTCTTGATTCTATTCAATGTACTGACAGACCTTTCACAATCAGCCGTAGACATTGGCAGAATCATGGTAATCTGACAATACCTTGCCAGAGAGGGGAAGAGACCTCCCATGGTGGCTACCTTCAACAGAGATCCTTGGAAGGTGAGATCCTGCATGGTGGCCCCCTTCAACAGAGATCCTGCATGGTGGCCACCTTCATGGTGGCCACCTTCAACAGAGATCCTGGCATGGTGGCCACCCTCAACAGAGATCCTTGGAAGGTGAGATCCTGCATGGTAGCCACCTTCAACAGAGATCCTTGGAAGGTGAGATCCTGCATGGTGGCCACCTTCAACAGAGATCCTGCATGGTGGCCACCTTCAACAGAGATCCTTGAAAGGTGAGATCCTGCATGGTGGCCACCTTCAACAGAGATCCTGCATGGTGGCCACCTTCAACAGAGATCATTGGAAGGTGAGATCCTGCATGGTGGCCACCCTCAACAGAGATCATTGGAAGGTGAGAACCTGCATGGTGGCCACCTTCAACAGAGATCATTGGAAGGTGAGATCCTGCATGGTGGCCACCTTCAACAGAGATCCTTGGAAGGTGATACCCTGCATGGTGGCCACCTTCAACAGAGATCCTTGGAAGGTGAGAACCTGCATGGGTGTCTTGGCAAGGAGGAACGGAAGGAGGGGAACCCATCCTTGGCTGTCTCATATACATAAGATGCAATGGATTGAAAATGTCCTGCAAGTACCTAGTGGAAGAAACAAATTACGTCATTAAAGAAAATTGAGGAAAAACCCCACATGCAAATTGTCTATTTCAAAATCAAGCATCATAGTTATTGTTATCAGAATTATAAGGGGACAAACTGTAGTTACAGGGAAAATTAATATCAATACATTTCAAAAGAAAATAACTGGGTAAAATTAAAGGGATATGCTATCATGGTATTGTAATGCTAAGGGGAACAACTCATATATTCACAAGAAAATACTTGACCACCTTCAGCAAACCAATCACATGTTACACATAACTAGCAGAATAATTACCTCAAGTTTTTGTAAGTGGACAGTGGTCAAATATGTAAAACCTTTAATTCATTTCCTTTTAGAGGTCACATGCCTTTGATATAATCTTGTTTCTATGGGACCTGTCAAGTCCAATTTCAATCAATATGTAAAGTCATTAGGATCAAGTTGATGACGGCGGATGGGAATGTGGTACCGGGAACAAACCAGATAGCAAGCAACATATTGGTAAAATGAAGAGCATATGATAACTACTTTCTGAAAAGGCAATTGACCCCAGCACGCCTCGTTCCTGCCAGTCTCCAATAAGTGTATATGTTGTTGGGAACTGAACAGTTTGTAACTGGAAAAAAACGTATGGCTAAAAAAAAAGTGACAAATTTGTAAGTTCCATCACATAATATTTTTTTTTTAAAGAAACCAATGAAGTAAAACGGACTTCCACCAATATCTTGCACTCCCAGTCGTTTTATACATTTAGAGATATGAGCAATACGTGCCGTTCGGGCCCCTTATTATGTGAAATTTCTTCGAGAGCAGAATGAAAAAGGAAAAATTGATGAGCAAATTTTGGTCAAAATAGCTTAAATTAGCCATACCTTAGAGAAAAAAAATATGAACACATGAAAGTTCAGGTATGGACTGGTGGATATGCTCGTGATCTCGGTCAGCAGCGACCACGTGCACAGACCGCATCCTAGAAGCATCCACCCTCAACTCCTTTTCTGGATACAAACGAGCTTCCTCAAAGGATATATCTAAATATTACAATTTCTTCGCTCAAGTGTGTTGCTTTTATTTCTTTTAAATATTTCTAAACGGGTTTTAGTTGTTAAGTTGATGTTGTAAAGCAATGTATCAAATAGGATAAATACGAACAAAAAATGCTACTCAATTATATTGAACGGAACGGATGTACGTTCCCCTATCTGTATCCGCTGCGTAGCTGTGATCAGAAAGTATATACAGTATAGGGGAAAAATTCAATGTCATCTGACTTTTTGGCGGACAACAAGCCTTTTAGTATTGAGTTGAATGGTAAGTTTTTATTCAGAGTATTTAAGTCCAAAGTAAATCTGATATAAACGGTATCCCCCGATCACGAAGAAGTTGTGAAAGATGTTCGATAAGAAAATCTTACTTGATCATTGTGATTAAGGGTTTATTCTACCTGTACTAAAGTATATAGATGATTCTCGTGTATTCATCCACAGGTATTGGCCTCGTCTGTCAATACACCTATGTGATTCATCATATAAGACCATAGTAGATTCTGGCTTTCCTCGTGATCTTGAACATAAATAATTAGTAATCCCGCCTTCATACAATAGGATACAATAGGATAAATAATGGATGCAGGCAGACACGCTGCCTCTCTATCCATATATCAATATATTTTTAATGTATTTAGAAAATATTATTCATTAATTGTCATTTCCTGAGATTTCTTTATGGCCGGCCAAATGCTGGTATTTCAGTTCAAGATTTTTCCAATGAGTATCAAGATTAATTTCAAAGTCCTTAATCGTTGGCGATGTAATAACATATTCATGGAGACTGTTCCAGATTCCGACAACGCTAAAGCTAAATGAATATTTACGAATATCATGCTTGCAATGTTTTTTCCTGATTTTCTGTGCATGTCCTCTTGTTCTAGATGATGTATCTAACTCGAAGATTCCTTTTGTTACCTTCTGGTCATGTTGGTTGTTCATTATTTTAAAAACATTTATGATGTCGCCTCTCAATCTCCGGTATGCCAAGAGTTGGAATACCTATCCTTTTCAAGCGCTCTCGGTATGGTAACTCTTCCAAACCTGGTACTAGTTTCGTGGCTCTTCTTTGTACCTTTTCTATGCATTCAATATCCTTTATTTTATGTGGACTCCATACTCTAGATAAGGTCTTACTAATGCCTTGAAAAGTTGTTTGAAAGAAATCCGATCCAAATAAACGAATGATCTCCTAATGAGTCCCAATATGCTGTTTGCTTTATTTACTGCTTCCTGTATACGAGCCGAGAAATTAAAGTTTCCCGTCTACCATCACCCCTATGTCCTTTTCTTGTGAGACGTTTTCTATATCTATCCTTCCTTCCCGAGATCCCTTCATGTACTTTACAGTTTTGTGGGTGGAATTTTAACAGCCACTTATCGGACCATATTTGTAATTTGTTCAAATCTTCCTGAAGTGATTTGTAATCTTCGTTACCTTTTATATCCCTGAATGTTTTGGTATCATCTGCAAATAAAAATGTTTGAGATTTTGTATTGTCTGGCAAGTCATTGATGTAAGTGACAAAGAAGATCGGCCCTAGTACGCTTCCCTGCGGGATTCCGCTGACTACTGGATATTGTTTTGAGGCCGTTCCATTAGTTATTACACACTGCTTTCTATCACTCAGTCTTCAATCCATGTTACAACCTGATAACTTAAATCATTCCTTTTTAACTGCAATACTTATGCTGAACAAAGAATAAACCTCTTCCGTGAACTTAATGCATATATTCCTCTCACCGTTAATCTACTCCTTTTTGGAGATACAAATTTATCTGAGCAGGAAAATGAATTAATCTTCATGCATACTCAGTAATATATTCATGATTCTAACAGATTTTAACCCACCCCGCTCCCTTCCCTACTTTCTATCTTACTCTGTTATAGTTAAAAATCAGGTTGTATATATATACGTTTAAATGTTTTTGTACCGATCTTTTCCGATGCTGACGGCACAAGAGAAACGGATATTCAAGGACGAACGGAATGACAAGGACGAAGCAAACCAAGGCACGGGAGTGATAGACAATAGAACAAGGAACGGGAGTGATGGACAGAAGTACAAGGCACGGGAATGATGGACAATAGCACACTTTTCTATCTTACTCTGTTATAGGTAAAAATCAGGGTGTATATATATACGTTTAAATGTTTTTGTACCGATCTTTTCCGATGCTGACGGCACAAGAGAAACGGATAGTCAAGGACGAACGGAATGACAAGGAGGAAGCAAACCAAGGCACGGGAGCGATGGACAGTAGCACAAGGCACGGGAGTGATAGACAATAGTACAAGGCACCGGAGTGATGGACAAGGGCACAAGGCACGGGATGGGATGGACAATCGTACAAGGCTCGGGAGTGATGGACAATGGTACAAGGCACGGGAATGATGGACAATAGTACGATTGTCCATCACATCCCGTGCCTTTTACGATTGTCCATCACTCCCATGCCTTGTACTATTTTCCATCACTCCCGTGCCCTGTACAATTGTCCATCACTCCGGTGCCTTGTACTATTGGCCATCACTCCCGTGCCAAGTGTGCTATTGTCCATAACTCCCGTGCCTTGTTCGATTGTCCATCACACCCCGTGCCTTGGGCCATTGTCCATCGCTCCCGTGCCTTGTGCTATTTTCCATCACTCCCGTGCCGGACAATAGCACAAAGCACGGGGGGGGATGGACAACACTACAAGGCACGGGAGTTATGGACAATAGTACAAGACACGGGAGTCATGGACCATAGTACAAGGCCCGGGAGTGATGGACAACAGTACAAGTCACCGGCGTCATGGCCCATAGTACAAGGCCCGGGAGTGATGGACAGTGGCACAAGGCACGGGATGTGATGGACAACGGTACAAGGCACGGGAATGATGGACAATAGCAAAAGGCACGGGAGTAATGGACAATAGTACACGGCCCGGGAGTGATGGACAGTAGCACAAGGCACGGAAGTGATGAACAATAGTACAAGGCGCGGGACTGATGGACAATAGCACAAAGCACGGGGGGTGATCGACAATAGTACAAGGCGCGGGAGTGATGGACAATAGTACAAGGCACGGGAGTGATGGACAATAGCACAAAGCACGGGGTGTGATGGACAATAGTACAAGGCACGGGAGTGATGGACAATAGCCCAAGGCACGGGAGTGATGGACAATAGTACAAGGCCCGGGAGTGATGGACAATAGCACAAGGCATGGGAGTGATGGACAATAGTACAAGGCACGGGATGTGATGGACCATGGCACAAGGCACGGGATGTGATGGACAATAGAACAAGGCACGGGAGTGATGGACAATAGTACAAGGCACGGGAGTTATGGACAATAGCACAAGGCACGGGAGTGATGGGCAATAGCACAAGGCACGGGATGTGATGGACAATAGTACAAGGCACGGGAGTGATGGACAGTAGCACAAGGCACGGGAGTGATGGACAGTAGTACAAGGCACGGGAGTGATGGACAATAGCACACTTGGCACGGGAGTGATGGACAATAGTACAAGCAGAATGTTTAGGAAAGTGTATAGTGTCAACTTCTGCCGTCAGTGTCGGAAAAGATTGTCCACATTATGAAAAAAATACATTTTAAAAAAATATCCCTCTCTCTATCTCTCTCTCCCTCATAAGATATGCACAGATGTTTAATTTTAGGGAAATGGCTTTAAATAAGTTGTACAACTTGTGCCCAATATTAATCCTGTTGCTTTAAAAACAATAAAATATGTTTAAATCAAAAACTTAAATCATACTAATGAAAATAGATTGTTTGAACAATACATTTATTATGTATGTACAATAGATACATATGTATCAGTACTTTTCGCGATTTGTTCAGCAGGATATTGAAAATAACACAAACTCTACTGTTTTAATTAGTAAGTACATGTGGCGCGGACGTTTGGGCGTGTCTATAGCTTAAAGGGAAGTAACTCGTATTTGAACTTCTCTTGCAATTACGATTAATTATCACGTAGGTTATTGGAAAATCCTGTTAATTTATTAAATACCAACATATTAAAAACATCTGCTGATATTTGTGTATTTGATTAATTTTATTTACAAAAGGGACGGGCTGTTTCCGATATAAACACTGTGTAACATTCCTCAAATGACTCACCTAAGATTTTTCATACCTGCGCGCATGCGTACTTACATATTATTGTTAGCGTTGATTTCCGCTTGTAGGTGAATAAATGTAGAGACCAGACGATGAAACTTGATAAGAAGATTCTCCTCACTCACAGAATCTTGCGTTGATGTAACATATTGGACGTAAAATACAGGTAAATAAGCACAGGTGTGCTTTGGATTATATTATTCACCTGTATAACGCTACAGGTAGATGGTGTTATTTGAATTCACGTAACCGCGCCATGCACTTCCTACTTTTCGTCCATATTTTTTTTGACCTAAATATTAGGTTTGATTTCTCCATAAACTACGTACATCGTTTATATATATCTGCATTAGTTTCACAGATCTACGCACCAGGTGTTATCTACCTGGTTAATCTTCAGTACAAAATGCAATTTTCGATTTGGGAAATTGTCCTAACGCTCAATATGATTTATGTGAATCACTTCCTGAAATTGTACATATAACATACACAACATATTCAGCATTTTTTTTTACTTATTGTGTGTTTAATATATATTCCCCACTTTTAAGCAGACACAATTAATTTACTTAAAATACTGGATATTTGTATGCACTATCACAAAATCACACAGCCACAATAAATATAAATCAGAAAAAAGTGCTTTGGACACATGTAAATGATCAGAGTATTGTACAATGATTTCAGGTTTTGAGAAGGTGTTTTATTCAGGAAAACCTGTGTTATCTGACCCCTGGCATCCTGTCTAAACCAACGTACATGCTGCTGTCATCCTATTATATATATATATTTTGTAATGAAAACACTCCAACATCAACTTGATCAAAGTGTTTTAAAGCCCAGATCTGTAAAAGCCCCTGACTGGTATCATCTTACATACACCTCTGTGCTTAGTTCTACTGTGGATAGCTTCAGAGGATCCCTCACCCACCCAAAGCTACTAGATACCTTGTACTCCCCCCCCCCCCCCCCCCGACACAACACATGTCTTGGGTATCTTAATTACACAATACAATATCCTGTCCAATCTTACCAAAATATTGTGTATCCCATATATGAAGTAAGGGCTATATCAGTTGGCCCTTGACATTTAGTAGTTCAACAGTCAAATATAATTTTCCACGAATTTTGGAAAGAAAGAAAATATTTAAAACAAGAGGCCCATGGGCCTTAACGGTCACCTGAGTCCTACAGTATTTATTTTTGTTGTTGAAATATGTACCAATTTGAGTAAAAAATTGTTAAGCATTACGTTAACTTAAGTTTGTCAGGATCATGAGCTGATCATTCCCAGACCGATTTTCAATTAGATCGGCCTATTAGAACTTGTTTTTAAGTTTGAAATAGGTATTTTCAAAATAGCGGCCATGGCAGCCAAATTTTATTTCTGATCGACCCGAAAAATAACAAATCTTTGTCAGGACCATGAGTCGATCATTCCTACAAAGTTTCAGTTCAATCGGCCAAGTAGAACTTGACTTTAAATGGCGGCCGTGGTGGCCATATTGAATTTCTGATTGACAGGAAAAATAACAGCACTTTGTCAGGACCATGAGTCGATCATTCCTATAAAGTTTCAGTTTAATTAGCCTAGCAGAACTTGACTTTAAGTTTGAAATAGTTTGTCAAAATGGCGGCTGTGGCGGACATATTGGATTTCAGATCGACCCGAAAAATAAACGACACTTTGTCAGGACCATGAGTCGATCATTCCTACCAATTGGAAGTTTCAGTTCAATCGGCCCAGCAGAACTTGACTTAAAGTTTGAAATAGTTTTTCAAAATGACGGCCATATTGGAATTCTGATCGACTCGAAAAATAACAACACTTTGTCAGGACCATAAGTCGATCATTCCTACAAAGTTTCAGTTCAATTGGCCTAGCAGAACTTGAGTTAAAGTTTGAAATAGTTTTTCAAAGTGGCAGCCATATTGAATTTCTGATTGACCCGAAAAATAACAACAATTTATCAGGACCATGAGTCGATCATCATTCCTACAAAGTTTCAGTTCAATCGGCCCAGCAGAACTTGACTTTAAGTTTGAAATAATTTTTCAAAATGGCGACTGTGGCGACCAAATTGGATTTCTGATCGACCCGAAAAATAACAACACTTGATCAGGGAGATGTCAGTAACCTTCCCATGAAATATTAATGAAATCCCTTTGCCAGAATTTCAGCTTAAGTTGAAAATGTAAAATGTTAACGGACAAAGACGGATAGCAATAGTTCACCTGAGCTAAAGCTCAGGTGACCTAAAAAGGTACAAATAAACCTGTCCTTTAAACCGAAGATTCCAGCTTATTTTGGGGAGTCCAAAACATACTCTAAACGGTCGTTTGAAAGTCTTGTGGTGTCAGATTAGACATGTGCCCCTCTAGTGTAAACTGTTGATAAAAAAGCTTTGGCGAAACCAAACTGTGTTTCAGGTACTCTGACAGACCCTAGTATTTATCTCCGACTTTAGATCTAGCAATTGTATATCACTTGAACACACCCCATCCATGGTTTTGAAACTAATTGTTCACCAGATGCAAACAAACTGATGGACAAGGTTGTATCGAAACAAAAATCCAAACTTCAACCCCATCTTGGTATTTAAAAGATCTGAAAATTATTTTTGTAATTTCTAAAATAAGTCATCTCCTTCCAAAAAAGACAATAAATCCTTCCTGACCTGTCCTATTTTTTTCAGTCATGTTATCCGGAATCTTGCATTTTTTTCTTTCTTATATCCACCAACATATCATAACCAGCTACGTACAAACTCATACATACAATTCTGTTCTGATTTCAGATACCTGCCACACCTAGACCGCCATCATGTCTAACTATCCACCGATGGCTAACCAGTATTTCGATGACACTCGAGGCAGCACCAACCACCTCCAGTCTGCCTCAGAGCTGGGAAGTGCTTATGAGCTGCGACGCCTGGGAGACTCGCGGTACACGTCACAAGCCAGTATGACAATGTCCTTATATGGAAGTCGGAGCGTTCTGTCCATGTACACGCCGTCCCAGGCCTCCTACATACTTCCAGTCGTCACAGATGCACCGGACCCTATTAAGAAGCCAGCAGATAACTGGGGTTTCGCCTGCTGTTCTGTGTTCATTAACCCTTTGTTTGGCCTCATTGCTGTGTTGTTAGCAGGTGAGAAATCAGCAGGATATAGGCAAATCTTACATTTTCATAGAAAATCTCTTGTTCAGCATATCCTTAAAACTTTATACCATGTTCTTGCATACTAGACCGAGATATCCGCATTTCCGGCGGTGCTGGAAAATTCTATCCGACTCACAGGTCTAGATCGCTTACTCAGGTAGACTGGAGGGGGGGAATTATAGTGACCTTTCAGCGTCACGTAATTGTTTGTGACGTCATTTTATGACGTTTTGGGGTCAGTCAGGGTCATTGACGTCAATAACAATGCCATCCAGGCTTCATATGCAAATGAGAAATGTGCGGACAGTTTACAACTTTACTAGAAGAGCAGCTGTTTTTATGGGTTTTAGGTAATAAGCAAGAAATAGAATCCATCCCTGATATGAGGTAAGGATAGGGTTATTCAAACCCTTGTGATAAAATATTGAGCAAAAGACCCTCGGCAAAGCCATTGGTCTCCTGCTCAATATTTAATCCCTTGGTTTGAATAACCTTATCCATACATCACATCAGGGATGGATTCTATTATTATATCCATGTGCTGAAAATTCAGGATGCGATTTATCATTTTCTGATTAAATTAAAATTGATCATATCATCATTGTATTTATTATCTAAACGAGCTTTGAATAAAAAGCTTAAGATGGACATGATATAATGCAAATAGAAATACAGGAATATTGCATGAACTGTTTTCTGTGGTCTGTCAGAGGTCATATTGACTATGTTTGCCATCTCGCTAAAATTCACTCTTATAATTCTTGTGTTAATTGTCAGAAAACACTGTTCTTAAATTATGTTGGCTTTTCTTAATTTCTTCTTTTCTGTTTTTCTTTAACAGAAATGTCAAAGGATTATTTCAATCGCTGTAAATATATTCAGGCCTCGAAGTACGGATCGTACGCGAAGGGTGCTGCAGCTGGAGGTATAGCGTCGACCATTATCGTCCTGCTTCTCATCATAGCTCAAGTGTTACACTACCAACTCAAGTTTAACTATTAACCTCGGCAACACGTTTCTTCTCCTCCTCCAAGCTTCTACAAAAAATTTAACGCCATGTTTGACCTCTTGAACATTTGTTTTTATAATTCAGCTGATATAAATAAATAATTCTATGATAAGTTCAATATCTAAGTGTCTAAAGATGGATTTATTTGACACAAGTCCTTGACCTGTCGGACCAGAATTGTTTGTTTAGGACAGGCATATATTGGTCTGATGTTGTTTTCGTGGTGAAGAGATTCAAGACCTGCGCCAACATACACATGTTGGCTTGACTTGACCACCAGTAATTTTAAGTTACCTGTGGACTGAGCTGCTGTTCTGCATATCATATTATGACATGGTCCAATGTTAAAAAACTGTATTGAAGACTCCAATCATAATTTGTATATAGCTTTATCTTCTGTCTTGTGATACCACCTGACATTCTGTGAGTAGTTGTAATATATAGACACATGTGTTACTACTGTGTCTTTTCAAGTCTGTGGAATGAAGATTATGGAATTGTTCAGCTAGTCAGTGTATACTTACTTAACTTAATATTGCAATATTTAAAATATCTTTAGAGATCTAAAGGAACTGTTTCTAAGGTCCATTCAAATCAAATCATGATGCCAAAAAATGGAGAGCACAATATTTGATGGAGGAAACATTGAATTTTTTGGCTATTGAGAAAAGATAACATGTTTTTTATTTCGATATTTTAGTCAATTTCTTAACATTTTATATATAACACATGTAAATAGTGATCAAGGTATATATATTTTTGTATGACAATGTATAGATTTTTGTGTAAACCATCCTATAAAATGTCATCCCATTCATCGCTGTAAGGTGCGTACTGTGTAGTCTACTGTACATATTTAGTTCAAATGTCCGTTTTAAATATTCCTCTTTTTTATTTTTTTATTTAAAGCTATAAGAAAGCACATTCTGTTGTTTTACTCGTAAGTGCTATTTTTTCATCAGTTAAGTGTTTGGGGGAAAAGAAACAGTGATAAACTGATTAAAATTCTGTAGGTGAAAAACTTTGTTAAAAGTGAGCATTGGATTTTAAAATAAAATTCATTTTTGCAAAGCACAGTGTCTTCCAATTTCAGCATTTTTTCCTTTTTTTTTTTTAAACAAATGATGTTTGCATTCTATGTAAATGGCCCCTATACTTTGTTTATGTTATAATCCCTTCATTGTTGTAATCATATAAAAATATAACAATAAGTGTTTTCTTTCTAAAAAATGATCTTGTATCAAGTTATACCCTCAAAAATTTTGTAACAATTGTAAAAAATCCAACCAGAAAACAATTATCAAACCTCTTATGTTATTGTTATATGGTCATTTGATTGACTGACCGTACATTCCTTCTTTGCATCTTGCAGACTCTATTAACTAATACTGTTATGTGATCATATCATTACTTTCAGTGAGGATTCCATCGATATTTCTAAAAATCGTAGTGTTTGAACGCATTAATTTTTATTTAATACCTCAATCCTATATTTCCTAAGGCTTAGGGCACTAATGATAGGTCCAGATGGATTATTGTCGTTTTTATTCCCTTTTTTTTTTTGTTGTAAATATTTTTCTCATTTTATCCTGTGCCATATACCATCATCTCCCTTCTACTAAATGATTATCACAGCGTTTTATCATGATGTTATGTGGGCTGTCTAAATCATAGATTTTATTTACTGTACACAGCATAGTATTATAAAATTCAGTGGCTAGAAGTAAAATTTTAATCAAGCAGTGATCAAAATGAGTCAAAACTCATTATATTTCAGGGAAAATTTGTCTTCAGTTTTTCCAAAAAAATAGCAGGGTCCCTGAAAGCTACAAATCCTTCAAAAAGTTGTATCTGTATAACAAAAATGCTCACAAACCACAGGTTTTATGATCACATGTTTATACTTGGGGATCAAACATGTATTTCAAGAGACCAGGCCGGTCCTCTTTCATTTATCGCGATCCAAAGAGTTATTCGTTTATGAAATAAGGTCGAACCTAGTAATCTGATGCTGCTTTCAGGTGAGCCTTGTCAAAGCCTTGCAAGGCCTGCATAAAGTTTTGCAGGTCCGCCAGGATTTATACACAAAAATGTTACATTTATGAACAGACAAACCGGTTGGATCTAGGAAAAGTTTGGAATAATTAAGAATTGGCCTGTATATTTTTAATTGGAAAAAGATGTAGAACACTTTAAATTGTTATAGAAATGTATAAACCATATACGCAGATAAAACCACAGAACTACTGTATTAATAGACTTAAGTGATTATAGCAAGTCTAAGAATCATTAAGTAACCCACTAATCAAGGTTGTAATCGTAGCTCATACATATGGAATTCAGAAACAGGAATCTTTCTCCCATCTTAAAAACTACTATATATGAATCTCTCATTCAGTTAAATAGAAAAAAAACACAACCTGACACAGCAGCTTTTATTTTCTGAATTCATTGTATGTAAAATTAGCTCTAGTTGTAAATTCACAAGCACTTATTAATTTTATAATCATGTACAAGCCATGTACTCTTGGCATACAGGACTATTGTACAAAAATGTCCCCCTTTTTAACATTCATCCTCCAAGTCTAAGTGCAATTAGTCAATTTGATCATACATTCCCAAAAGCGATTAACATTTCCATCTTCAACTACATGCATATGTATCATGTTCTGTTATATTCATTTCAAGGAAAGAATTGGATATCAATATTAAGTTTGATTTATGATAGTTTGTAATACATGGGTTTCTGGAAATTAATAGACAAGAAAATGTTTTATTATATGATGTCACACTCACTATGCACACAAAAAATCTGTTTGAAACCGTACAAAATTAATTCTTCATTTAGTTCAAAACATAATTTACATTTTAATAAAAGTTTAATTTTGTTTAAAAAAATCTTAATGTTAAATTAAAATTGATAAAAGTGAATGTGTGACATTATCACGGGTGTATGTACTCGTAAACATGTTTATTTAAACTAGAATGTATTATAGCGATATATACTAAATGAGGAATTACAGAAAATGCATGTTAGAGACCATAAATTGATCAACATAATAAAAAGTCATGAATTACACAATTTGTTTATGTTTTAATTATGTTTAATTGTACTTTCCGTAATATTCAAATAGTGTAAATATCTCTACAATTCTATCTTACCTACAAACTATTGGTCTGTTCAAAAAAATATCCCGAGGTAACTATAACCATATACATGTAGCCATGACTTTAACTATAAAGTTGACGTTTGTCTTTTACCTGTTCGTCCCTTTGATGTCATTTCCTTTGACTCATTTATCTACTTTAATTGGCCCAAAGACCTCATTTTTGTTAATCGTCCGTTAAGAATCCAGTAATTATAATTATTGAAAGCAGTTCAACAAATTGATTGCATACATGAATTTTGTATGTAATCAGAAAACAAAAAAGTTTCTTTTACCTCACTTTTAAATTACCAATACCATACCAAGATTTTCTTATACAGAAAGAGACATTCAGTTCATGATCTTGGTTTTATACAAATATGATTGGAGGCTACCAGACCTAAAACAGTGTAGCTCTCCCATACAAGTTGGGGAATGATATGTTTGACAATAAACGTAATTTACATTTTATACATAGTCCTAATTGAAGCATATTAGCATTATTAAATTACAGCAATGTGACCGCAAATAGTCCCACATTTTGACGGAATCTTTGGAGATCTGTTGCAATTGATGATACAAAGTTTGTATTTCGTAAAATGGGCACTGTGTCAAGGTTTTTCAATAGTTATGGCCCTTACTTGGTTCTCCAACACGTATAAACAATTAGAAAAAAAATATAGGAAAAAGAAGGCATTCCTTAATAACAAACTTTTTTAAAAATCGAAAAGAAAAAAAAAAGAACTACTTTAATCCTGCCAGCGAAGTAGATTATGTTTTAATGAATAATTCAACTTTCCTGAGTAATATTTTCATACTTGGTGTGACAAAAATGTTTCAGAAGCATGACATTTTGCACTTATAAAAAAAGTAAAAAAAACACCTTGAAATTCTACTTGAGATCGTAATTGTTGAAACCATGCACATGGGAGCAGGTATTGATTGTTACGTCATTGGTTTGTGTGAGAAAATAACGTCGTTTTCTCAAAAATTGATGACGTTACTCTCACAAACAAGTGACGCAACAATCAATACCTGCTCCCAAGAGAAGATAACTCTGCAATAAGCAAAGATGGAATATATGCCTCGCTCTTGATTCATGATGCTGCTTTGACACAATTTTTTACAATGAAATTCTGTTTCCCCCTAGTTTAGGGTGATAAGTAAAACACACACTCCCTATATTGAATATCAAATAACTTTATTGCATCTGTTTATGAATTGTAAGTCATCAATTTTACTAAACGTACTGTTTGCTCCTTTTTCCTTTTGTATTTTGACTCCATCATTAAAAACTGAATTTGCTAATTCATCAATCCGCAAACAAGGTTTTGATGAGCAAAACAACTGTGATATCACAACGAATAGACAAATTTGAAATCAACTTGCCCGACCAAGCAGTCATGACAGGTCTCTGCTCATCATATGTTACTTTGTACCAAGACTAAAATTAGGAAATGTATAAGTATTGCAGCACTGCAGACAACACCATATCTTATTTCATAGTTAGGGTATATGATCTTTTTGAATCTTAAAACAATTTAACTATGAATATGATTAAAAATCTATATGAATTGTTTAAATCGGACACAGTTTGGATATTGTCAAATGATAATTTTACAAATTAGACGAGCTCACCCTCCGAGCATTGATACTGGCAAATAAGGCATTCCTAGGAGCAGCAGGGACCTCCCTGGGTCCTCCCATCATCTGGGGAGGTGGGGGTCCACCAGGGGGAACAGGTGGTCCTCCAATAGATGGCGGAGGTACTCCAGGGGGTGGTCCTCCCATAGATGGCGGAGGTACTCCAGGGGGATGGGGTGGTCCTCCCATAGATGGCGGAGGTACTCCAGGGGGAGGGGGTGGTCCTCCCATAGGTGTTGGAGGAGGTGGCCCTCCCATCCTTGTCATGGACTGGTGTGACGACCTATGCGGCCTGGGAGAGTTGTAGGTTGGACCCGTTGAGGAATAGGAAGGTTGTCTATGAGCCGACAAGTGACTTCTCGAGCTTAAATGTCTTGTTGATCTGGTCATCCCTGCTCTGCTCTTTGATGATATCTTTCTTGTTGGTAAGTTGGTGTCTGATTTTTTGTCTTTTCCGTCCTGAAAGTTTATAAAACAAATTGTCTCAAGAAAATGAACATGAAAACCTTAACCTATCACACACTACAGCTTACCAACAGAATGAAAGCTAAAGTTACACTATTAAGTGAAATAGTTGCACTATTAGTTGAAATAAAGTAAGCAAAAGTAATGTGTAATATAATATACCAATTCATAAGTGTACTTTTTGTACATAAATTATCAATCTTACCTTTTCATTGCTTGCTTTTTTCCAAAGACGCAAACAACTAATAATTGAAAATAGAAAAAACATAATGTTGAATTTAAGATGTACCATCTGGTAAACAAAAATTTAATTTTAGGAAATATATCAGGGGAAAATTCTTAAGAAAATATACATCTAACATAAATGGATTTACAATCTGTTATTATCAAATCATTGATTCCCAGTAAACTGGAGTCGTTTGGACATGAAATTATATAAATTTAGTTATTTCTTAAAGTGAAATAATAATTCAAAATATTTGTACCAGTAATTTTCATCTGAAAGATATCTTATTTAAAATTGCTACCCATAGCATATTAACACTGTTTTGAAAAAGTTTCACTTCATGTCATATAACTGTGAAAACCATATCATTGATCAGAACATTATCTATGTAATGATATATACAATAACATGTGTCATCAATACATAATGGCCTATACAATTTATCAACAAACCTTTCATCAGACAATTAACTTAGTAATTCTTAACTAAACATCTAAGTGTCGGTCAGCTGGACTTACCATATAATGGTGACAATTAGGGCGATGATTAGACCAACTATGGCAGCCATTTCCGTGACAGCCAGGTCAGCATAGCTGACATTTTCATTTTCAAGGAAAGCAGCAACAGCTGAAGGGACGTGTTTCGGGGAACTTGAACCTGACTGTGCAGACATGGATTTACCTGACAGTTGAATGCACAAGTCTTAATTTTCTAAAAATGTTTCTGTAGAACTTTTTCACAAATGATTAAAGAAACAAAAAACACTATCACCTATTCTGAACTGTTTTTAGGGAGAGGTTTAGAAGCATTAATCTTGTAGATAATGGAACTTCTCAGACTGAGATATAAACTTTGACCTAAATAAATAATTGAAAATAAAAGAGAAATATCGGGAACTAGAAAACATTTAACAGAACATGTGTAATTACAACTCACCACAAACAAGAGTCCTGTTGAAGTGGAACACAACATCATCTGTTTGTGTTTTGGTATTACTTTTTCTTTTGAAAGTGTGAGAACACTTGAAGAGTCCCTCATCCTCACAAGGTTCTAGTGGGATGTGTAAAGTGAGAGAGGCGGAAGTAACTGGAAATAAAACAGCAACAACTTGTCTGAGACTGATGTTAAAAACAAAAAAACTTTCAAATGATTTAATATCCTTTCTTATCAACAGAATATGGTGAGTTTTATTTAATTACCAATACTGGTTTGTCCATTCTGCTGGTCAGAAGGATCATTGCCCCTTTCCAGAGGGATTTTGTCACCCACCATTGTAAGATATCCATTTGTTTTATGTAAGGTTATAAGACTCTTTATGCCCAGGGGTGTAGGATAGGGTAATTCCATCCGAGAGGTTTTCAAATTTGGTAAAACCTGAGGCTTTGCATTTGAACACATTTGAACTGGCTACCATTTTGAAAATATTAATTCCCCCCCTNAGAGTACCCCATATTTGCAAACAGAGTTTGTACAGAAACATTAATCTCATCTTTCTGATATGTACTGTAAATATGTTTTAATTTCGTCATGTCGTCTTTCCAGTATTGCAGCGATGGAATTTGTGACGTCACGTCATTGTTGACACGCCACGTGAAATGGGGTATAAGATAGAATTTTCCTACACCCCTTTCTTACCATGGAAAGCTCTATCTTACACACACAGAAATGGGAGAAATATCTTTCTTACCAAATGGATTGTTAATTTTGTCAACACTAAATGCATCAAGTTTATTTGAGCATACGTATATTGTGGTAAAAATCATTGGCACCAACTGATGTTTGCAAGGGGATTTCCATGATCACAGACTTTTGGAAAGTTCCCACTTTCTGGGTCAATACCAGTGCCCCCTAAATATGTCCTAGCTGATACTGAATGACACCTATAAATATAAAAGTCTGCAAATCTCCTCCAGAAACAAATATCAATCATGAACCATGCCTCTTTTATGATAAATCTTCCTTCGTCCTAATGGTGTCATTGGATTTGATGTTTCCAGGAATCTCCTTGCAGGTGTCTCTCTTAAATCAATCTCAAATCTTAATTTAGACAGAAAATTCCATTGTGAGTATAAAGGCGGTAATTTCATATGTAATCTGCACAGTAAAATGGGACTACCCTTAACCCTGAAAATATGTTGTTTTTTTTCTACTGTAATTGTCCTACCTGAACGAACCGTGCCTTCAACCAGCTGATTATCCTTCAACTGCTGATATTTATTCCAGAGGATGCCACCGCCCTGATCAGGCCACATGATCACACCCGTTGGGGACATTGCTACCAGTGACTTGAACATCTGTTGTTGTGGTCCTTTTCTCCACCACACAAAGTTATGAATCCTTTTTTCAGCTGATCCAGTAGAGCATGCGAGGTCCAGTACTTGAGTCCCATCCGTTAACACACTCTTTGAACTGTGGATTTTCAGCGAGGGTGATCCTGGGTACCGCAAACACACAACATATCTTTTTTATGATAGCATTAAATGAATGAAAATGATGTGAAATGAAAGTGGCAACGCATTTCTGAACAGTCAAGGATGTTTGTTCATGTTTACTCAATATATCTGTTTTAAATTAACTTTTCACTTGATATATCTGTTTAAGGAAATGCCTATAAATACAAAACTTGAATCTGACATATGTACTAGCCTGAGTTTCCTCTGGCCCTAACAGCAGACTTAGACATTTTGACAGATCTAGACATTTATATGTCTAATTCTGGTGTTAGGGCCAGAGGAAACTCGGCCTAACATATGTACTTGACGTTTAATGCAAATTCAGACAAAAAGGAATATCATGTGACCTTATTAATTACATATTGGATAAATCTATCTTTAATTATCAAAACTGGACTTATATCATAAGAGAAATAATTCAACAAGATTTGTTTGACATTGTAAAGGAAGATAACTGGTGAAATTATATTTCTACTTTTGAAAATTGCCTTGAAATTAATTTCAGAGTTACTGGATCTGGAGCAGCAGTTATTCATTTATCGGTTTTTTTTAATACATAATAATTTCAGTTAAGTTATTGACAATATTTTCTATATGATGTCATGTCAACATAAATATTCCTTCATTACAATATGACCAATAAATGCTGTACTGAATACATGTAAATTATGAATACTGGTCTTAACATGATAACTTTAAACTTTAAGAAACATTTTTATTTTACAACAAAACATAATTATTAAACTTTCACTTTTCTGTTTTCGATCATTTTAAAAGGAAGAAAGGCCAACAGTAAATATGATAACTAGCAATCTGTGAATGTCGATTTAGACATTCTGCCACTTTAATCCCTTTCCCCATTGTAAAACAATCTTATTCTTTCATTTTCTCTTCAACATTTCTACCACAATTAGTCATGCAAAATGCTTCAAAAATGATGATTCAAAAGAAAGCAACCTCTGTTTTTCTTCTTGTAGCAGTTAAGTACACATATGTGTTACTTACCATATTGGTCTCCAAATTCACCAGTGAGCTTGGTCTTTCCATCATTCATTCGAAACTGTTCATTTTTTTCTAGAATTTTTCTGACTGGACCATTATATTTCTTCAAAATAGAGAGAAGAAAAAAAGAGATAAGAATAGCAATTTTGAATTTGAGATGTGTACTGTGCCATTTATGTTCTATTTTTTATGTGCGGGATAAATTAACTTATCATTGTAATGAAAAATAAATAAAGCCGACAGTTCAATACGCAAAACAGTTAGAAAATACCTTAGGGGTAGCCTCATCCTCCTCTGTCAAAGCTGCGACAAGCAGAATGAAACCTGTAAGACGCAATTTTTGTATGGATTATTCCCCTTACATTGTAAACGGTCCATAGCTCTACGGTAACGGGAACATTTTAGCAGAGACGTATAAATAAATGGATTGGACAAAAGTTATTGCAACTTACTTACGTCCTTTCCGTTACAGAAAATATATATACAAAATTAATGTGTCACGTAATAACCTAATACAAATTTATATGTGTATATATATATAAGATGTTAAAGATGGGTTACACCAAAAGAGGTAATGATAGGATTAGGGACACCAACATATAGTTTTTAAATATGTATTCGGAGAGTTTACTTGAGATCGCGTGTGTGATTTTCTCAATCGAGTCGGCGTAAGTAGTATACCTAACGGGAACATTTCGTGTCTTTTATTTCCTTGACTGGATGAGACTTGAACGAAATGGTCGTGATGTCACTTTGATAGAAACAAAAGAGAAATGTTCCGTCGAAAGCCAACACAATGTCATTTACAAAGAAAATAGAGAGTTATTATAAAGAGTTTTTACAAAACAGTTTTAAGTGCAATTTCCATGGCCGAACTTACCGTAAATAAGACAAAAACGAAACATTGCAAGAATGAGTGTCGCTTTTCCGCCGTCGTTTTTTGTGACGTCATAAACACGGAACAATCGACGTAACGTTAGTGCTTGCAATATGAACACATGGCGGGAAAAGTCTCATGAATACGAGACATGTGTTCCACTGAGTAGCCGTCATGGAGTTGCATTTCATCTGATTCCTTGGTTCTTGGCTTGGAATGCAAATTTTCGTTATCTTTTACCAAGGCGGTCGGGGTTCGATTCCCCGATCGGACATGGAAAGGTATGGGTCACCTGTCCGACCAAGTGGGGTTTCTCTTGTTTCCTCACCAATGAAGACCCCGCGCGCTAACATCCGGGCCGAAAAGAGTGACTAGAACTTGTTTCATAATTGTTGTAAAATAGATAAAGTTTATATTTAAATTTTCATTATAGTTTTGCAGTATATGGGTCATAACAGTTGCGATTCCTCACTTCTTTCAATCCCGTAATCCCGCAAATGAAGTAATATGGTTGATTTTCATTAAAAAGCATGACCTAGAAGATGCGTTATTAAAAATACTTTGGATAAGTAGGCATAATCAAACGTGTTATAACCGGCATTAATCCGATGTCTTTCAGTGAAATGTCAAATGACACTTTCAAATCGTTCTTTAGTAGCGATATAGTTTTTCGTTGAAAAACTTCATTTGGATGAAAAATGTCGTGGCTTTTCATACTAGCTCTAGTTACTCTTTCTAGGAGAAATACATTTTGATAATGAAAATTGACCACAGGCGTGATGACAAAACAGGGCAACACGGCATACAGAACATTGACCCTGCTCAATTTTCTCCACTGCAGTACAATGTGCTTGCATAAGGGACGCACGTATATAAGGATCGTTGGGATGGACACGCCCATAAGTGCATGATTTATGGAGAGAAAAAAAAATCATTTATAAACATCCATTTTTTTATAATCATCGTTCCTATTTTTAAATCGCTTGCTTTAAATTGGAAAGCTATGTTCGACTTCCTAGTTGGTTGTACTGATCAAAAATGCTGATTGTTTAATGTTATATTTTCTCAGTAGAATTTCAGCGCATTTACGTCAGTGAATTGATTTTCACCACTTTAGTACGACTTCCCTTTCCGCCGTTGCTCAATATGATCGATTCTGGATGATTCATCCCATCAGATTACGCATTTGTATAATTATTATTTTTTTAACAAAAACGGCGTTTAATTTCTCATTTTAATTTGGTTATTCTTTTCAATACAACCTTCATTTGCTTAATGCGATGTTTTCCTACCAGAGAAATAGACTAAGCCGTGCTCGACTGGAGTGCGTTCTATGATACGTAACTTATAACGTATTCATACACTGGGATTAAGCGCTGTGCAGACTGTTATGTCATGAAACCAGTTGAAGCTGCGTTCCCTATTTATTGAATGTAACCGCCCAATTAAATACTTCGCATGCTCGTAGGGTTATGGTGTGTCTTTAAAGAACACTTTAAGCGGGCTGATACTGCACTGAGTGTTGAGTGTCAAACCCGTGATAAAATAAATTGACAATCTTTGATAGGCCTATGGATTTATCAATGCCGTGCTTGGTCAAAGTACTGTTGTAATCCGGACCGAGGACGCAAGCTTTTTTGCCGAGTCGGAGGGGAGCGAGTGAAAGCGTTCGAAAGACACGGACTACATTACAGAGATAAACAGACAGTGGAATCGAGGGGAGATCCCTCAGTCCAACTATGGTGCCTCTATGGCTGTTTACAGCTAGCTTTGTTGGAGTTTTACTTCCAGATGGTAAGTTTTTAATCTACTTTTTAACATATTGTCCACAGACTGTTTCATTCGACTCGCCATCATTGGGTTTGAAGCGGCCGAAGTGCGTTTTGTTCATGACCGACATTCATGATCGTCTCTATCCTTCTCTGTTGCGAAGTAATCATTTTACTGCAGTTCGTCGTTTGAAATAGTTTATGTTAATTTAAGACGTGCATTTTGAGCTATATTGGTCCATTTTGTATTACTATGTATATTTTGCACGATATATACACTGTTTTTTTGTATATTGAATGTTTTGTTTGGGTCGAAAACGCTAGGTCGACCACAGGCGAACAGACAGGTAAATCTAAGGTAAAGGTCATGATGTCGCCGTCTAGACGGGTCAATTAGGAACACCTCGGGGTGAATATTGTGCAAACGGACGAAAACAAAATTGCACCCGAAATAAAGGTTGTTACATTATTATTTTGTAAACGTAAATAAACTGTAAAAATGTTAATGAGTATTTGGATGAAATATCATGGTTGTGCTACCGTGCAGTGTGTTAAATGTTGTATTATGACATGTTAACAGGAACGTCAATGATGAAGACTTTGTACTGGTTACTCAGTAGGCCTAAGTATAACCAATACAAATTTATGTCAGTCTTGTTTATTAATCAATGAATAGGCTTATGTCAGTTTAAATAAATAATTTGTCTTTGATTGATGACAATATCAAACATTGCAACTTAAATTTGTTTGAAAACTATAAAACAATTAATCTTACAATATAACATTCAATGAAACCTCATGAAGATGTGATTTGGAAATGTTTATTATTCAAAAAAATAAAACATGGTTTAGCTAAAATTTCTTGTAAAAAATTGAACAGGTTTTGAAGAACATTAGAAAAAGATGTGTATTTGTTTTAAGTTTTATGCTGTAAATAAATCACATTAATTTTATTTTATCTTAAATCAGACTTTTAGTTTAATTGACAACTCAGCAAGTGTAATAAAATATTGTATTACAAGAATTAATAATAATACTATTACAGTATTAAGGACACAGCTGTTGAGTAGGTAAATAATTGGTGCTGTGAATGTTATGGGTATAGCTGTATTCTAAAATGAAACTATTTTGAACTAAATGTAATTTGCCTATAGTTTTGATTTCAAGATAACTTATCAGCTTATTAAAGTGTTTTACTTTAATAAAAAAATGGATCTGATACCGATTGTTTCTTTTTCAATAGATAAAATATTCAGAGTCCAGAGCTTTGTTTTAAAACTAAGGAAACATTTTGCACCATTATGCAATATTCATACTTTTAAATTACTCAATAAAATTACATTTCCAGATATAAAATTAATGTTAACTTTTATTCTTTTATCTAAATGGTAAATTTTATGCACGTACACACAGACTGAGCGAGTGCATGCTCCAGTATAGTTAAGCTACACAATGTGATGTACATGTACAGTAACTGTTGACTTTGGACCTAGGCTAGTGTACAAACAAAGTCAACATGGTCCTGTCATAACAATCACAAGGCCTAGATTTAAAACGGGTATATTGTCTCCATCTATGTTCAAATATTATTGAAACAGTAATTAATTTTCAAAGGTTTTAATGGTTGATTCACAAGAGCAGAGGGCCTATGATGATGGTTACTTCGATAATTTAGACTTATTGTCATGACGTGTAACTTATAAAATTTACATACATGTACATCTAGAATATAAATTAAACTCACTCAGTTTGGAGAATTTTTATAGAGTTTCTTGCTGGAAAGTTAGTTTACATTCAAAATAAATTTTTGGTCTATGTGTATATAGTCAACCAGATAATTTACCGCCCTGAAAACATTCATCATGTGACATTAGAAAAAATTACTACACAGAAGGTGTCAAATTATATATTTTGAATCTTAAGAAACCAATCCTTGATATGATTCACAATTATTTCCTGAATGCGATATAACTTTATATCCAAACCAGCAGCCACAATGTAGAGTTGATGTGAGATAAATATTATATATTTGTATGATGATATCTGATATAAAAGGGATTGCCTGTCAATGCTTACCCACTGTAATTACCATTCAAGGGATGTGTTGGTGTTATCTGTGGGCACATCCCTAATACTGGAGAACATCCTTACCATGTTACCTGTATCTATAGGGGTTTCCTTATTAGGGGTCTGCATTTCCATCAGCATTATACTGGAATACCACTTGAATCTACAGCAGTGTTGGGGGTGTTGCAGAGATGAAAACTTTAAGCTTTATGGCTGATTTTAGCCATTTTCTCAATTTCATAGTAATGAAAACTTTTAATTTCTCCCATAGAAATTATTGAAAAATAGACCATATTATTGCAGTCTTTAGGTAGGTGTGGATTTGAGCAACAGGGGTAGAGTGTCTTCCTCAAGGTCACAAAAAACATAACTTTGTCTGGATATGGCCTTTTGGTCAATACAGGCTGGTGTGCTTCCAACTGCTACCAGACCTCCCTGAAATCCAAACCAGTAAGTACATACCAATAATGATCTGAAGTCTTGGTAGACAGAGCACTGGCAGCTGTATGTTCAGTTTGGACAGGTTTCACTGTATATTGGTGTTCTTTATGGTCTATAAAGAAGAATGGTTTTAACTGGTAAACTGAATTATTTTGAAAGTCAATAATAGTATTTAGGAAGATAGTAATTTTGTGGTGAATTTATTGTTTCAGTTTAAAGTAAAGTAAGAACCCCATTCCTTATCCATTGAGTGCAGTAGTTCCTTTACCCGTTTATACGAAGATCAAACATTTTGATCTCGTCATCATCTAGTCATCATTCTTGATATTGGTCCCATGGCCTAGTTATATAATTGCATAATGTATAACCTAGCAATTATGAAATATGGTAATAGTATTTTTCCAGCCAGGTTAAATAAATCATCATGTGATCACCTCAACATCAAGGAAGGATTACCATTGGTCGTTGATAGCTGTGGGAGGAATCTCACGAACAGCTATATTTAGATGATGATGTCACATTTTACTTGATCAGTCAGTTTTGGTAACAAGATTTTAAACATCTTTCTCAGTGTATTATATTTGAAAGAAGAAGTGATAAGCAGCATGAGAACAAGGAGTAAGATATATTGCAAAGTAATGGAGCTGTGTTAAATGTTAAAATAAAACATGGGATCAATATTAAATTTAACGGTCTTTATATACTGAAAGTATACAAGGTGTGTCGGTAGATCTACAGCCAATGTTATTGAATATTTCATGCATAGGAAATAAATGTATAATATAATATATATGTATGAATCTATGAGGTTAATTTGTAAGTAAACCTACATTATAAATGGATCTACAATGTATCCATGTAATAATAATTTTTCACAATTGGAATATCTGATTGGTTTGTTGATTGATGGGTTTTACGTCTACACTTCACTGACGAAGTAGGTGTTCAGTCGAAGTGAGGGGGTAGGTTTCTGCTTACCAGGCCCTCAGAGATTTTAAAGTCCTACCCATCCAGGTCACGCTCTGCGGTCGGATAGCTCCTCAGTTGCGGACAGGCTGTCACAGCGGCTGTGGTCCACGGACCGACGTCCTAAGTGTAATCCTCGCTGTCCTCCTATGAGTTGGAATATCTGAATTCTGTCATGATATATCAAGGTGTAGATAACCACCAAGTTAAAACATATAACTACGATTGTCACCGCCACGTAATATCTTTAGTCCTTTTCCACAGAAGTGTTCACTTTGCATTAACAGAATTATAGTTGTTAAAAAGTGAAGTTAAAAAAAAATTAAAAGAAATAAAAATACTTCTATCAAATCTAAATCCTTTATTCTACAAATCCTACATCTTACAAGTGTTGTGATACAGGAAATGTAAATGCTTAGTATCAAAATGAGAGGTGAATACGATGACAAGGGAAGCAACTGTAAGCTTTCCTGCATGGCTGTAACTGGTTCAGTGGCACACTTTACCTTCAAAACAAAATTAATTTCTTCATTTCCGAAGGCATGATTTGACATCTGTGATCTGGACAGAATCGTCCATGCATACACATAGAATGGTCACGCATGAATTAATCCTGTGTATCAGTAGAGATTTTTTTTATTACTTTTTCAAGGATGATCCTGCATGAGGTATAAAACCTCAGACTTTCAAAAACAGCAAGATTTTTATCTCAGCAAATGCTGTCAGACATAATTTATAGATTTTATATCCTGCATTCTAAGTGTATTCCAGCTGATTATTTTGTCTGATAAGACATTAGCAGAAATTTTAAAAAATTGAGGGGAAAAAATACAAAACTTTTTTAAATAATCCATGCTCTATTTGATGTTATGTATCCATAATTTCAAAATAGATTTCTTAAATAATAAAGAACCAATGACCCTTTGATTGGTGTGGCCCCACACTCCAACTTAGTTAGACTCTGCCCTTGTAACGTGACCCTCATTAGCAAGTCTACATTGTAGCGGGAGATCCTGTTTCTAAGGGGGAGTCACCTAACCGTTCTACTTATTACAACTAAGTATCGACAAACTCGCAATACAAACCTTTGAAATACTCTTTATAATCAAATGAGCTTTTTTCACAAAATGAAGGACATAATTTTAAAACATGTTGCTATTTGCTTAAAAAAAGTCTGAATCATCATTATGATCATGAGGTGTTTGTTATGCTTCGATCTATTACATGTACATACTTTGAACAAGACCGAAGTGGATGATGGCGCGGGCCTTGTTGACAGAGAAAACCTGTTAAAAGCTGACTATTCTATACAACTTATAACAATGTGGTGCAATTTTGCTTCAGTGTGACAATTAAGCTCGGTTTGCATTGATTTCACACATGGATATTGTTGAATCACTTCTGGATTATCCCTATCTTATTATGGAAGAAAGTCCTTGTTTTGGAACAAAAGGACAGCAGGACACTTAAATAATTGTCGCTGTCTACCTTTGATCATCAAGTGATGCACATACATTATTTGAAAATTGTATTCAAAACATTTTCACCTTT